ATGTATGGAAGTGAGAGCTGGACCATAAAGAAGGCTGATCACCAAAGAATTGATGCTTTTGAATTATGGTGCTGGAAGAGTCCCATGGATTGCAAGAAGATCAAGCCTATCCATTCTGAAGGAAATCAGCCCTGAGTGCCCACTGGAAGGACAAATCGTGAAGCTGAGGCTCCAGTACTTTGGCCACCTCATGAGAAGAGAAGACTCCTGGAAAAGACCCTGATGTTGGGAAAGATGGAGGGCACAAGGAGAAGGGGATGACAGAGGACAAGATGGTTGGACAGAGTTCTCGAAACTACCAGCATGAGTTTGACCAAACTGAGGGAGGCAGTGGAAGACAGAAGTGCCTGGTGTGCTCTGTTCCATGGGGTCACGAAAGGTCGGACACGACTAAACGACTAAACAACAACAAAAGAAATTCCTTATTACATGCAGTTTTGCCTGGTTTGAATTGCTTAAAGTACTTGTTGCCTCTCTTGTGCGGCAGGATCTGCAAGTCCTGCCTTTTATTGGTATAGATGTGTTGTTTAAATTTTTATTGGTGGTTTGCTATAATTTGTTCTAGACTAGAGTTTATATTTTGTTTGCTTTGTGTCACCTGGGAAGAAAGTGAATGATGATGATGCACAGCAAAGGCAAAAAATAATGAGTGGGGGGATGACAAAGTAGAATATGGAAGGAAGGAAAGTAGGAAGGAAATGGTAGATTTGAAAGAGGCTGAGGAAACACACACACAAGTTGACCATAGGCAGTATGCTGGATGTTACTGCAAATGAATTTCTCCTAAGTCTTATCATCCAGTTGGAGTCTGAAAGTAGTTCCATGAAAAGCTGGATTCACATGGCTGTGGAAGAATGATAAAGTAGCACTGCCATTTGGATTAGATATACATTTCACATACGGTATCTGTCATGCTAGGATGTGATCCTGCTCGTAGAAAGGGATAGGGGAATAAGGGTCAAATTTTGTCAATTTCCCCTTCAGCCTCCTTCACTCTGAAGCATCCCCAAGACTCCTGAAGCATATTTGTGTAAGGGCCTTTACGGGGAAGGAGATGCCGGTAAAAAGCACTCTTAGTAACTTCTGCTAGCTGCACTTCCATAGACATTGCCAAATCCAGGAGAATCCCCAGGCTGCTATCTTGGTCCTTTGAGGGAAGTGCAACCAAGTCCAAGACAGGTTGTAAGCCTCCATCCAGATCAGCCTGCTGCCCTGTCCTGACTTTGCCTGAAGAAGCAAAGACATGTCTCTCTGTGTGAAGGAATAATGTCTTTGTTTAATGTGGTGCTCTGCAGTTTATATAAGCGCTTGTTGTTTTTTAATGTCTGCTTCCCAGTTTATTGGGGTCACATTAACAAAAGGTGGGCTTTTTTCATTGATTAGCCTTATTGGTTAATCAATTAAGGAATTAAGCCCTAATTTTCATCCGTTACATAAATGCTGGAAAGGTGAAATGCTCAAGGAAAGAATATAGCTGGGGCACCTGCATGTACTTGAAGAAAAGCATGCTGCTTTCAACCACAGGCAGTCAGACCTGGGGAGCAATTTGGCATATAATTGCTACCACCTCCTAAGGCACAGGACGTCTGACTTTGTTCCCTTTAGCAATGAATTATGGGGGGGAAAGATACTGAAGTGTTTTCAATTGTGTAACTTTTAAATTATGAAACTTTTGAATGGATTTTTTAAAAAAATAGGAAGGTGCCATTAATAACAATGTACTGTTGATATACTTACATTATTTTCATGCTTTGCTGTGAATCTCTCTGGGTATCCAGAGATGAGATTTGCCCACGAAGCGATTATGACTAATAGCTGAGGACTGTAAAACTGAAGTATAAAACAAAGCAGGAAATAATCACAGCTAGACTGCTTTTTCACCATTTAAGTAAAGTATTCAAGAGTGGGGCTTAGAGTGGCTGGGGAAACGCAGCCAGATGGGCAGGGTATAAATAATAAATTATTATTATTATTATTATTATTAAGACCTTGCTGGCTATGAAAATCTGAAACGGTGGCCCTGACATAAAGCTCTTGTCATGGTACAGATAATCCTTCCCATGGACACCAGGTTGTTTCTGTACTCTCACGTCTTCTCAGAGAAGGGGAAAGAGTTGAAAGGGATGATAAGAATATTTCTGACTCAAGCCTTAACACTGTTAAAAATTCACTCTCTTGCTCTGCATAACAAACATAATCCCCTCAGGAACTGGATAACCTGTCAGTTGTCAGATTCACATACTTACATAAATATATTCTTATCTATGGGGTTTTATGCTCAGGGAGGCTCCAGTCCCCTATAACCTTTGAGTCCCAAAAACATTTTCTTTGCAGACAGCTGTGCCTTACACTAGAGCTGACATCTTCTTTTCTGGCAAGGTTCCTAGGGGTTTGGTGGGGAGGGGGCTAACACGTGAGCTTCCAAATGTCATTGGAAATACAATTCCCATCACCCCTGACCATAGCCCTTGCTGCCTTGGGCTGCCAGGAGTTAGAATCCAACATCTGGGGGTGGGGTACAGATTAGCTACCCCTGCTTTCATAACTGCTGTAATAGGAGAAAGCTGCACCTGTTGAATTTAAATTAGTAGGCAGATTTTAAAGCCACAGAGTCTCCAGCACGAAGGAAAGGCAGAAACCTAATTGGAGACCTTTATTCCATCTGAAATACCAGATGTTTTCCCTGTGATAATATTCAGCTATGTTCGATGGTCACACATACTTAGCTGAATAAAAAAGGCTCTGGCAACTGATGCTTCTTCTCACCTTTATAGTGGGAACTTGGGCAATAAACTGGTGTTCATCTCTGTAGGATACATTCGAACTTATTGCCTCTGAACATTTGTGAAGTCTGCTCCTTTAGTATTGTATCTCCATTGTATCTGGGAAGATCTGAGGCCCAGTGTGTAACTTTTAAAAAACAGCAACACCTTTTTCATCCTAGTGTCAAATATATATGAAAGTGACCTTAAAAGAATCACACTAATTCTGGTTAATCAAATAATCCCCAAATAATCTCCTGAGACAACCAGGAAATTGTGTAGAATGTACGATATATATTGAAGGATGCAAGCAAGAGTCATATAGTGAGATCAATTTCATATAAGTGTAACTTTAAATATGCTATCCACTTCTGTTTGACTGGTTTAGCATGATGACCTCATCTTTGATTGGAGATGAAAGAAGGCACTGGTGTCATTTTGTCCAGTTGATAAATCACTTGGCCTGAAAACCAACTATAGCAATGGTGGAATACCTATGGTCCTCTAGATGTTGCTGGACTACAATACCCAGCATTCCTACTGGTTACGCCGGCTGGGGCAGATTAAAGCTGGAGTCCACATCTGGAGGTCTAAGAGTTGTCCCACCACTGTTCTAGAGCCTCCCCACTTCTCTCTTTGCCACCTATTCCCATAGAAAATGATATGACTACAGTTCAAGACTAGGTGCAATTTTATTTTGGATGTCTGGTCATTTTGGGGAGACCTGGAGGTGCTTTGAAAAGGCATCATTGTACTTTGCATGCTATGCCACAATATTTGGTAAAACAGGGTGTACAAGTTTCATAGCTGCACACTGGGCCGTGTCCAGAAAGTGGTGTTGGGGGATGAGTGTTCAGATCCCTGGGCTCTCACTTGTGGGGTACCTCAGGGTTCCGTCCTCTCCCCCATGCTTTTCAATATCTATATGAAGCCACTGGGAGAGATCATCGGGGAGTTTGGGCTGAGTGTTCATCAGTATGCAGATGACACCCAGCTCTATCTCTCTTTTAAATCAGAACCAGTGAAGGCAGTGATGGCCTGGAGGCAGTTGGAGGGTGGATGGCGGCTAACAGATTGAGGTTGAATCCTGACAAGACAGAAGTACTGTTTTGGGGGGAAAGGGGGCAGGCGGGTGTGGGGGACTCCCTGGTCCCGAATGGGGTAACTGCCCCTGAAGGACCAGGTGCGCAGCCTGGGAGTCATTTTGGACTCATGGCTGTCCATGGAGGCGCAGGTTAATTCTGTGTCCAGGGTGGCTGTCTACCAGCTCCATCTGGTACACAGGCTGAGACCCTACCTGCCTGTGGACTATCTTGCCAGAGTGGTGCATGCTCTAGTTATCTCCCGCTTGGACTACTGCAATGCACTCTACATGGGGCTACCTTTGAAGGTGACCCGGAAACTGCAACTAATCCAGAATTCGGCAGCTAGAGTGGTGACTGGGAGTAGCCGCCGGGACCATATTAATACCGGGTCCTGAGAGATCTGCATTGGCTCCCAGTACGTTTCCGAGCACAATTCAAAGTGTTGGTGCTGACCTTTAAAGCCCTAAACGGCCTCAGTCCTGTATACCTGAAAAAGCATCTCCACCCTCATCGTTCAGACTGGACACTGAGATCCAGCACCGAGGGCCTTCTGGCGGTTCCCTCATTGCGAGAAGTGAGGTTACAGGGAACCAGACAGAGGGCCTTCTTGGTAGTGGCACCCGCCCTGTGGAACGCCCTTCCATCGGATGTCAAGGAAATAAGCAGCTATCCTATTTTTAAAAGACATCTGAAGGCAGCCCTGTTTAGGGAAGTTTTTCATATTTAATATTTAATGAACCCTTGAGTCACATTTGGCAATGAAATCTCATGGGGCATCCCATAGAGGACAGCCAGACAGCCAAACAAACACAAGCCACTTTCCAAAATATATAGTAGATTCTTCCTTGAATAAAACAAACTCTTTGTGTCAATAAGCCAAATAATTACTCCCTGAAAGTGCCAATTCAAACCCAGATTGCAACCCACCAAATGAACAGGAACCATTTTCAAGCTGAATGAATTTGTTGTGAAAACAAAAGCAGCCATGTCTCTTTTTACTGGAAGTCTGTTGTCTTGGGACAACTTGAAAAGTCAAACTCAAAATTAGAGATTGTCGTGCAGTGCCACCTTGTGGTGAAATATAATGAGACTACCCCCAATTAAAATTGACGAGTTTATATTCTGGGCATGAATGGGTCCGTTCAGCATGAAGTTCCAGTAACAAGGCAAAGCTGTGTGTTTTTTTTATTCAAAGCATTCCATATTTAGATGTGCATCAAGTGCTTATTTACAAACTTGACAGTGGCTAAAGTTCATTTTGGACTGGGGAGGCTACCTTCTTCGAGTTCATTGACCACTGCAACAGTGTTTTCCAGAGAATATGCAGGTGTCTCTTTAGAATCAATGGACCCATATCCAAAGCTCTGCCTCTCCAGGTGTTCTTTTTCATTTGATGCAACAGTCCCCTCCATCTCCTGCATCTCTTCTCCATCTTCATCACTTTCACTTTCCTGAAACGAACCCCCAGACAATAGCAAATTCAGGGCACAAAACCAAAACAATTTGGATGTCTTAAGGGAGGCATAAGAGCCTACTGGATCAGGACAGTGGTCCAGGATGTCCACAGGAATCTCACATTCTCCTGTCCTGCGGTTTCCAGCTGACAAGCCAAGTGTCCCCATCTTATATTGGTGCAGCTTGTACTTCCTGCCCAAATGTATAACCTTACATTTGTCCCTACTGAAATTCATTTTGTTAGCTTGCGCCCAGTTCTCCAATCTGTCCTTAGCTTTAGCTACCCCTCCCAGTTTGGTGTCGCCTGCAAATTTGAAGAGCATCCCCTCAGTTCCTTCATCCAAGTCATTTATAAAGATGTTGAACAACAACAGGCCCAGGACAGAACCCTGCAGCCCCCCCACTTGTCTTTTTCCCCCCAGGAAGATGAGGAACCTTTACTGACCACTCTTTGGGTTCAGTCAGTCAACCAGCATTCAACAGTGGAAAAGACTCTAAAGATGATGGACCCTCCTTCATTGGAGATTTCAAAGCAGAGATTGGATGGCTATCTGTCATGGATGCTTTAGTTGAGATTTGTGCATTACACGGGGTTGGACTAGATGACCCCAGGGTCTCTTCCAGCTCTACAATTCTATGATTCTATGACTGTGGAGGCAGAGCACAGCCATCATGGCTAATAGCCTTTACCATTTTTTTAATAATCAAGTGGTACATAAATTTTGTGAAATAAGTATTAGTGGAAGCTGAAACATAGCAGAATGGAAACAGCACTGATTGTGATAAACGCAGAACAGGACAGCCTCCCATATTCCTAAGCCACAGCCGGCCCTATTCAGCCAAAGGAAAAGCTTTTGGGAGCCCTCAGGAAGACACCAAGGAGGAGAAGGAGAGAGTGAAAAGGTCACCTTTCCTCCCATCTCCTTTGCTGGTGTTTCTCTGGATCCAACAACATTAGAATTTAGGTATATCATCACTTGTAAAGGCAGACCTCAGACATTTTGAAGAAAAATAAGTATTGTTGCTTCCACGGTCAGCCGCAGCACAGTTGGAAGCCACTTTCAGGTTTCTGCATCACAGGCCAACTTCTCACAAAACAGCAGTGAAATGGTAAATCTGTACCTCGTTCGCCTGCTGTTTTGAGAAAGATTGGCCTATGATGCAAAGTCTATAATCAGTTTCCAGCTGTGCTGTGGCTGACCCTTGCGGGGGCAGGGGAAAGAAAAGTCTTCCATATCACTCAAAATTGCATAAATTCAGGCTGGAGGTGTGAGAGAGTGCTATCTTAAGAAATGCTCTCCCACCCCACCCCTCATCCAACACTAAACTAGGTGTGGGGGGGGGGAGGGACTGCAAGTTTTCTAAGAAAAGATGAAGTCTTGTGGAGTCCCCACCTGCTACAAGTAATTCTTATCAGCTGTTTTGGAGACTTGCTTGCAGAAACACTTAAAAGGGACCAGCAGGAAAACGAAGATGTTTGTTTTGGGAAGTAAGTGCTAACATGCCTTTAACATTCCCATGTAACCCAATTTCAAAAGGACCCTCCTTTGTTATTTCCTGCCAAACTTCACAGCCAGGGCCATTTCTCTTTGCTCTTCTGAGATCCCCACATCCAAAGCTGATTGCATTCCAGCCTCATCCTTATTGTGGCTCAGCAGACTCACAAGAAAACAGGAGGGCTTATTCCTGAGCAGCTTCTTAGCCTCCAATGACACAGTCAGATAACTGGGCAATCGGGTAAACAAACAGATTTGCTCTGAATTCTCTGAAGAGTTGCCAGAGAAAAGGAAGTCATTCCCTGGAGATAAATTCAATAGGATTGGTGTTGTGGGCCTGAGCCGTAATAAAGCAATACTAATTAACCAAACACAAACAATCCCAATGAACTTAATTCCTGTTGCTTTTGCTCCACTTGGAGCTAGACTACACTTACCTTGTTCTGTGTCCTATAGTATTCGTCTATTGCATATTGATATTTGGATTCATTGAGTCCAAACAGCGCGGCGAACTTCCCACCAAGAAATTCGCAAGCTGTAAGGATATTGAAGAAAAACAGCAATTGGGACCTTCATCTTAGAGAGAGAGAATAGAAAATGGATAGAAGGGAAGTGGGAAATCACCAGTGGATCCCAACAGGTACAACAAGCCACATCCCACCTGAATTGAGCTCATGTTGATCTCTAGCTTGTGAGCAGAGTATATGGAGACCAAAAGATGGGCCATAGTGCAACTTGGTTTATGTGGACTATGGATGCACATTAATCCTCCCACACCATATGCACCACATTTTAACTTCCATTAAAATGGCCTTCTTCAACCTGGTGCCCCTCCAGATGTTGTTGGACTACAACTCCCATCAACCCCAGCTAGTATGGTTACTGGTCAGGGATGATGGGAGTTGTAGTCCAATAACATCTGTTGGGCCCTAAGCTGGGGGTGGCTATAGTAAGATAGGCCTTGTTCCTGGTTTGCTGGATGAAGATGAAGACAGACAGACCTTCTCACCCAGGAGCAGAAGACTTAACCAATGTCCACAGACCCAACATGGGCATTTTTTTACAGCAATTGTGAATTGATGTGGTGACTGTTCTCACCCCATCAATTTGACAACCATATTGAAAAGAGCTTACTAAAAAAAGTTGTTGCTGCTATTCGAAGAACCCAAAATCGCAGGTAACTAGCCCAGGAGAGGCCAACCTATGAAACAAAAGCAACATTTTACCAATGACAGTACAGAAACTCATTTGCCACTCCATTAACAGCAGGATTATATATTTGAGATCGGGGCTGTGGATGTCTCTTTTGACCTCAGAAGACAAAATGTCTTCCTTACAACTCAAAAACCTCTTTCTTGCCCTTATAAGTGAAACTATAGAGAGCCTTCTATTATCAAGGGTGTTTAAAATTTGGTAGGGCCTTCACATCCAATTATATGTCTCCTCCAATATTTGTAATTTCTTGTAGAAAACACCTCTCATTCAAGAAATAAAGATGCAGATTCGGGAGGAGTTGAGATGGGGAGAGGAACACTTGGACCTCTGCTGTTTAGGTGATTCTCCATGACTAGAATTAAATAATCTTGTCCTTGTTCCTCTCCCTCATTACAAACTCCTATAATCCAAACCAAATGCAGACGACTTGCCATTCTAAGGCAGAAGTGGGGAAACTCAAGACACACACTCTCTCTCTCTCCCTCTGTGTGTGTAGGCTAAGTTGAGGCCCTCCAGACCTTGTTCTCTGGTACTTAGGGTTATGGTTAGGGCTCCTCAGGCCACACCTCTTCCCAGTCATGTGCCACCCACTCTGGGTGCTTCTGCTTGCATATGAGAGTATTGAAAGACCTTTACATGGCTGGAATGTTATATGTGGTAGAAAATAAGTCACACTGGTGGTTCACTTACTCTTGGCCTCTGGCCACATCCGCCACTTATACACGGTCCCTGGAAGGTTGCCCTTGAGGGACTGTGGCTCTAAAAGGGGGTTCACACCCCTGCTAAGGAGAGTTATCCCACAAGAGCGTACTCAAACAAAATTGTCAGAAGGCCTCCTCAAAATCCATCCTTCTAAAATTTGGCAGGTGGAGAAGAGGGCCTTTTTTTGTCGTGGCACCCAGCACATTCAAATGGCCTCTTTAGCAAAGCTTGCTTAGACCCCAGTCATTGCCAGTTATATATATTAATGCTGTTAAGTCGTGGGTTGACATAGCAGCCGGCACAGCGATTTCTTCAAGTAGCTCTTTATTATGGTAAGCTGGAATACAACTGACTGCGACAGCTCAGCCGGCCTGTATTTATAGGCAGCCGGCTGTCAACATTGTAACCACAACAGCCCAGAGTTCCCGCCTAAAATAACTGCCGCGGACCTGAGTGAAAACGATCTACAGACCTGAGTGAAAACTATATACAGTATCCCCCTGTTGGCCCAGGGTGAAACTACACTACATAACACCCCTCCCCACCGAGATAAGGCGTTAGTTACAATCGTAATGGTTTCCTTATATACAGCACTACGCGTAATGGTTCCATTAAGCACAAAAGCATATCGGTTACATTTCCCATACTTAGACCAACAGTGATACCTGTCCAACAACATAGTCCTTTAAATAAGTTGGGCGCTTGGAAACTCTGCCAGACCGCCGGGAACTGGTAGCCAAGTCCGGAGGGCCACACAGTTCTCGCTGAGGCTGTGGTGCGACCCTAGGTGGCGTTGGAACCAACTCCCCTGGATCCGCTGCTGTGGGTGGAGCCTCCGCAAGTGGAGTGGTCTGAGTCTGTTCTGAAACGGCTTGGTTCGGCTCCACGCTGGCAGTTTGCGAGGGAGGTGTAGGTGGGGCCTCGCCATCTGTACGTGTCTCTTCTGGAGCCGCAAACGCAGTTGGGGGCACCTCGGTAGTGTCCAAGTCCCCAACCCTGCGCCTAAGCTGGTCTATGTGCCGTCGCCACAAGCGTCCGTCTTCGAGTGCCACCTGGTACGAGCGAGGTCCAGTGACTCCCACTACTGTGGCTGGCACCCAAGGGATGTCCCCCACATAGTTCCGGGCAAAGACCTGGTTTCCTGGGACAAATGACCGTGGTGCGTTGGCACAGCCTGGGGGTTCAGCCACGGCAAAGTCTGGGTGTAGCCGGTCGAGCGGTGACCTGAGGCGGCGGCCCATAAGCAGTTCAGCAGGACTCCTCCCTGTGGCCGCATGAGGGGTGATGTGTTGCACGAACAAGTATTCGGCGACCCGCTCATGCCAGTCTCCCCGGTCCAGTGCCTCTTTTGTTGAGCGCACCATTCTTTCCGCTTGCCCGTTGCTGGATGGATGAAAGGGTGCCGTTAGGGCATGGCGGATGCCCAGTCCCAAAAGATACTGCTCAAACGTGCCTGACGTGAACTGCGGTCCGTTGTCAGAGACAAGGACATCAGGACACCCATGCGTTGCAAACAGGCCTCGCAGCACCCGGATGACAGCTTCGGTAGTGGTGGAGGGCATCAGTGCGACCTCCAGCCATTTGGAATAGGCGTCCACCACTACCATAAAGGTCCGGCCGTGAAAGGGGCCAGCCAGATCAATGTGCACCCTCGACCAGGGTGTCTTTGGCGTCTCCCAGGTGTGTCCCTTAGCTGCCGGTGGTGCAGGCCTCGACTCCTGGCACGCTTGACAGGCGGACACCCAGGCAGTGATGGCATCGTCCATATTAGGCCACCAGACGTAACACCGAGCCAACGCCTTCATTTTGACAATTCCCGGGTGGCCAACGTGCAGAGCCTCCAGGACGCGCTGACGGAGTCCCTGGGGAATCACGACGCGGTCTCCCCACAGCAGGCAGCCACGATGAGCTGAGAGTTCATGTTGTCTGGTTGCGAAGGGCTGGAACTCCGATGCAAAAGGCCCTTGTGGCCACCCCCTCCACACCCAGTTGAGCACCCGGCTGATGGTGCGATCCTGGGCAGATGCGGAGGCCACAGTGGCAGCCGATACAGGCGCTGCCGGAAGATCCTCAATCAGAAGGAGCGATGAAGCTGGAGCCGGGTCTTCCACAAATGCTGGAAGAGGGCAACGGCTGAGGGTGTCGGCATGGCCCATCGATTTCCCCGGGCGATGGATGAGCCGGTAGTGGTAGGCAGCCAGGAAAACAGTCCATCGCAGCATGCGTGGTGAGAGGACCGGTGGAGTTGGACGATCACCGGCGAGGAGGCCCAGGAGTGGCTTGTGGTCAGTGATGAGGTCAAAAGTCCTGCCATAGAGGTATTCATGGAACCTCTTCACTCCAGCCACAAGTGCCAATGCCTCCTTGTCGAGCTGGCTGTAATTCCGTTCCGTCGGAGATAGTGTCCTGGAAAAGTAGGCGAGCGGTGCTTCTCTTCCATCTGGAAAACGGTGACTAAGGACAGCACCGATGCCAAAAGGTGAGGCGTCGCAGGCAAGGACCAGCGGCCTGGATTCACTGTACTGTACCAGCACACTGTCTGAAGAAAGGAGAGCCTTGACCGCGTTGAAGGCCGCCGTCTCCCGATGACCCCAGGTCCAAGGCGTCTTAGTGCTAAGGAGTCGGTGAAGAGGCTCAGCCACTGTGGCTTTGTGGGGCAGGAACATGTTATAAAAGTTCAGCAGCCCCAGGAATGCCTGCAACTCCGTTTTGTTCTTTGGGGTGGGGGCCTGCTGGATAGTGCGGATCTTGGATGTGGTTGGATGAAGACCGGAGGCATCGATAAGATAGCCCAGGAACTCTACCTGTGGAACGGCGACCTGGCACTTCTCCCTCTTTACCTTGAGCCCGGCCTCCTGGAACCTGGTCAGCACGGCACGGAGGCGCTCGAACAGCTGCTGGTGTGAGTCTGCAGACACCAAGACGTCATCAAAATATGGTACCACGCCCGGAAGCCCTTGCAGGAGACGCTCCATAAGGCTTTGGAAGATGCCAGGAGCCACACTCACCCCGAACTGCAACCGGCGGCAACGGAAAGCCCCCCGGTGGGTGACGATCGTCTGGGCTTCAGCAGTGGCATCATCGACTGGCAGTTGTTGATAGGCTTGGGCAAGGTCCAGCTTAGCGAAGACCTTACCCTCACCCAGGGAATGCAGCAGGTGTTGGACAACAGGAACCGGATAAGCGTGCTGCTGAAGTGCCTTGTTGATCGTGCACTTGTAGTCAGCGCAGATTCTCACCGACCCGTCTGGCTTGACAGGCGTGACGATGGGGGTTTCCCACTTTGCGTGGTCAACCGGCTCCAAAACTCCTTGGGCGATCAGTTTGTCCAGTTGTTCGTCCACCTTAGCCTTGAGAGCAAAGGGAACCCGGCGTGGCTTTAGCTTGATGGGGGCGACTTGTGGATCAAGGCTAAAGGAGATGGGCGTACCTGTATATTGGCCCAAGGTGCCGTCAAAAACCTCGGCAAAGTCTTTGACCAGACCCTCAGTCTCTGCGTTAGAGATGCAGTTGATGCCGGTGACTTCCAGGCCGAGGGCATCAAACCAGTCTAGCCCTAGGAGGCTTGGCCGCTGACCTTCGACCACCACCAACCGGAGCAGGCCCGAAAAATCCTTGAAAGCGATCCGGAACCGGCCAACGCCTACCACGGGAATGTCGTTTCCCTGGTAGTCTCTCAGGTGTACGCGGTGAGAGTCGAGTTGCCTTTTGGACACTCTGGGTACCAGTCTTTTGATGGTGCTCCATGACACGATGGACAGGGCAGACCCGGTGTCGATCTCCATGTCACATGGAGCTCCTTCAATGAGCACCGTGACGTTCAGCTTGCGTCGCGTAGGCGAGTCGGTTTGGCCAATCGTGGTTCCAGACGGGCAGCGGCAGTTGGTGAGAGCGAAACAACTTTCCTTGGCAGACTGGAGTGAAGACTTGGACTTGCGAGTCGATGAAGGGGGGGTGTCAGACGGAGCCGATCGGCAGACCTTAGCGATGTGGCCCCTTCTGGAACACTTCCTACAGATGGCGTCTCTGAATCGACACTTGGCACGGGAATGGTTGCCTCCGCAGCCAGCACATTCCGGTTGGCCCTTGGACTTCTGTTGGAACTTCCTGCGCTCCCGCTTTGTCTGGTGCACGTCATCGTCTTCACTGGAGGATGCCTCATCACTGCTGGCCTCTTCATGATGCACTGGAACTGGCTCCCTAGCAAGACGCGGGCTGCTGGACTTGCGGATCTCCTGGGCGGAGCGTTCAGCAGCTTCTGAGGCCACAGCCTCCTCAATGGCTTTCTGTAGCGTGAGGTCTGGCTTGGCTAGGAGGCGCCGTTGCAGATGGATGTCCCGGACCCCGCAGACGATTCGATCCATCAGGGCATCGTCTAAGTCTCGGAACTCACAGTGCATTGCAGCCTGTCGCAGGGCGGTGGTGTAGTTGTTGATTGACTCCCCCTCTGCCTGGTTCCGGTGGTAGAACGCATGGCGGGCAGCAATCTTGGACGGCTTTGGTGCGTAGTGGTTGCGGAGCTTCTCTTGGATCGTGTCCCATGGTGTTGCCTGGACTGCTTCAGGCGCAACCAACGCTCGGGCCGTCTCAAACACCTCAGGCCCACAGAGGCTGAGGAATAGGCCCCGCTTCCGATCCTTTGATACTGCTGTCAGCTCGTTGGCTTGGAGGTAGCAGTCGAACCGAGCGAGGTAGGAGTCCCACGATTCAGAGGCTGGCGCAAACGGCGGTAGAGGCACAAGTGAAGCCATGATTCCGATGCCGGTGTGAAGGGCGATGGATGGAACACAGTGCTCTAGCCAGAACAGTCAGCTCTGAATTGGTTCTGCCCAGTGATTTCGCTCAGTGATTTCGCTCTGTGATTCAGCTCAGTGATTCAGCTCAGTTCAGAGGCTGGCCGCATCTGGCTGTGCTCTGATGTCCATCAATCCCATCCTCGTCGCCAGTGTTAAGTCGTGGGTTGACATAGCAGCCGGCACAGCGATTTCTTCAAGTAGCTCTTTATTATGGTAAGCTGGAATACAACTGACTGCGACAGCTCAGCCGGCCTGTATTTATAGGCAGCCGGCTGTCAACATTGTAACCACAACAGCCCAGAGTTCCCGCCTAAAATAACTGCCGCGGACCTGAGTGAAAACTATCTACAGACCTGAGTGAAAACTATATACAGTATCCCCCTGTTGGCCCAGGGTGAAACTACACTACATAACAAATGCTTAGGCCTTCCTGCACATTAAGACTTGTACCAACTGATGGTCATTATCGGCTCTACTGAGATTTTAAATTACCTGATGTCATATGCTGTGCACGTATATTGCTTTTCAAGCACATTCAAAGCACATTATTTTTGTCAAGAATTATGGGCGCTGTTGTTACAACTCCCAGCCACCTTGAATAAACTACAGTGCCCAGAATTCTTTGTGGGGGTGTGTGGATTGTGCTTTAAAGGTATAGTCTGTATGCAGTGGGAAATTAGATACATTTACTTTAATTGCTTTTTGTTTTGTGTTATTAGCTGCCCTGGAAGTATATTTTTTTTAATGTAAGGCTATATACAAATTTGAGGTTTTTAAAAACAGTCTCACAGTGTCAGGAAGTGGATTGTGGTCGCTTTCCTCCATATCTTCTTCCTCTGTGCTGTATTCTTCCATTGTTTCACCACTTGTAAAATGAATAATCCTCCTTGGAGGTTTCCCCCCCTTTGAACCTTCATCTCCTGGCTGTTTGCCACCATTTTCTTCATTCTGCTCATCAGAAAGATGGTGATCAGCTGAGACAATTTTAGGAAAATTGTGGGAGGATCCATACGCATAATTATTTTTATCTCGCTCACGGTGAGTTGGTAATAAGGTTGTGCACTGCACATATCCTCTATGCATATATCATATACAAATATGGAAGCTATTTAACATTCCATTGCACTCTTTGCAACTTTTGGCCACACTGGTAGAGTGACCAAGAAACTAAAAACCAAGCAGAGCTATGAAGACAAGAGCAGGCTTGATTCTAGGGTACAAGTCCTCCAGATATTGAACTACAACTGCCACCGTCCCTGACTATCATCTATACTGGCTGAGGATGATGGGAGTTGGAGTCCAACAATATCTAGAGGACACCATGTTGGCTACCCCTATTCTAGGACATACAAACACACCCCCATGACGTGCCTGAGTTGTTTTAAATTTGTGCTTAGCTAGAGGGTAAGTGTTTGTCTTCTCAGGCCGATAAAGTACAAAATATGAGAGTCTATATGTGTTGATTATGAAGAGCTCAGGGCTTCAGCACAGTCCATAAAATAATATTGCGCACTTAAAATATTTTGCACACATATTTTACAATGCATCGGGGGATCGTGCGAAAAACACACCTAGCTCTGGAGCAGAAAATTTTGTTTACCGCTCCATTATCTCCCAGCTACTGTGACAAACAGCAGGGGAGTTAAAAGCAGGTTCAAAGGATTTTCTCTGCTGCCGTGTGCGAGGAATTATAATAGGCAGCTATTGCTAAAGATCTATTAAAAACCCACAATAGTCACTCACCTTCAGAATCCCTTGGCTCCCTTCCATCACAGAAATGAGAATCTGACTAAAACGCTGAAGAAGTTGGGAGGAAAACAAGAAAACATAACTGGGCCTCCTCCTCTTTTGGGAACATTACCAGCTCATAACTGAAGACACCAGCCAGGGAAAGCAGAACTGCTTCAGGAGGGAATTGCGCTCATAAAAGGGGCTGGCTGTATTTGAATTGTGGGCTGGGCTTTTTTCCTCCTTTTTCTGCCATGCAGATCTAAATGATTGCAACAGAGAGTTGGCGAGCCAAGAGGAACAACAAGTACCTGCAAAAATAATAGTTTAGGAGGCTGCCAAATCTGCAATTTCTTTGTTCCAAATCTAGTTTTAGGGATCCATTTTCAGCACCTCCTTTTTGATGCCCTCCCTCCCTCAAAATGTTTAACAAGGTTAAAAGTCACAGTGGTATTTGCTCTTTCCCAGCAGCTAACCAGCCAGAATCAACGCCACACCTTTGTTGAATGGAGAGAAGCCGCTTGTGACCTGGGATGCTGCGCCACCTACTGCTTGTTTTGCGAAAGTGCCACGTGTTAGGAAGTTACACGTAGCAATCGCAGGTCTTCTAGCTATGCTGCGGATTCCCGACAGAACCGAATTGAACAAGACATTATCTCATTTTTTAATCAGAAGCTTTTGTCGTATGCATAGCAAAGAATAAGGCATAATCAGACATGGTAAAGGGATGTATATTTTGAGTTTAACTGCTCCAAAGCTTGAATGATTCTGTCCCACTCTGATTCAGTCTGGTAATAGGTTTTAATTTATAGTGTACCAAGGTATTCAAAATTATTCATAGTCAGTCACTGTCAGTAGTCCTAACAACAGTCCTATAAGGTAGGCCCGCCTTTCTCAATTTTGGGTCCCCAAATGCTGTTGGACTACAACTCCCATCATCCCCAGAGAACAGGGCCAGCAGTCATGAATGATGGGAGTTGTAGTCCATCAACATCTGGGTGGGGGCAAGGCTGAGAAAAGCAGAGGTAGGCGATTCTTTGCATATCGCAAAGGGGCAGAGGTTAAGAGATGGGGCAGCCAGTTGCAAATAAGACTTGTGCCGCATGGGAAACTGTGAAGGCACATTATGGGATGTGTGGGTGGGACAAGTTGCTGCTGATGATATTCCAGTTTCCACATGATTATTTTGCCTCTGACCACCCTACTGGCTTGCCTAAGTCATGTAGGGAGCTCATAGGCGAGACGAATTTAACCTGGGAGATGTCCCAGCTCAAGCTTGTAGTCTTAAAGGTAAAGGTACCCCTGCCCGTACAGGCCAGTCGTGACCGACTCTAGGGTTGTGCGCTCATCTCACTCTAGAGGCCAGGAGCCGGCGCCATCCGAAGACACTTCCGGGTCACGGAAACGCCGTTTACCTTCCCACTATGAAGCGGTACCTATTTATCTACTTGCACTTAGGGGTGCTTTCGAACTGCTAGGTGGGCAGGAGCTGGGACCGAACGACGGGAGCTCACCCCGCTGCAGGGATTCGAACCGCCGACCATACGATCAGCAAGTCCTAGGCACTGAGGTTTTACCCACAGCACCACCCCCGTCCCTTCTTGTAGTCTTAAGACACTATAATATAGTGGTACCTCGGGTTAAGAACTTAATTCATTCTGGAGGTCCGTTCTTAACCTGAAACTGTTCTTAACCTGGGGTACCACTTTAGCTAATGGGGCCTCCTGCTGCCGCTGTGCCGCTGTTGCACTATTTCTGTTCTCATCCTGAGGTAAAGTTCTTAACCCAAGGCACTATTTCTGGGTTAGCGGAGTCTGCAACCTGAAGCGTCTGTAACCTGAGGTACCACTGTACAGGGAAGCACCTTAGTTTAATAGCACAAGAAAAGCCTGCTGGATTAGACCAGTGGCCTCTCTAGTCCAGCATCCTATTCTCACAAGCAGGACTCCAGCACAAGACCGTTCCCCTCTCCTGTGGCTTCCAGCAACTGGTTTTCAGAAGCATTGCTGCCTCTGATAGTTGAGATTGAACATAGACATCAGGGTTAGCAGTATCCATCGATAACATTATCGTCCATGAATTTGTCTCCTGCTTTTTAAAAGCCATTTGAATTGGCAGCCGTTAACAGCTGCTATAGGACGCGGGTGGCGCTGTGGGTAAAAGCCTCAGCGCCTAGGGCTTGCCAACTGAAAGGTCGGCGGTTCGAATCCCCGCGGCGGGGTGCGCTCCCGTTGCTCGGTCCCAGCACCTGCCAACCTAGCAGTTCGAAAGCACCTTCAGGTGCAAGTAGATAAATAGGGACCGCTTACTGGCGGGAAGGTAAACGGCGTTCCGTGTGCTGCGCTGGCTCGCCAGATGCAGCTTTGTCACGCTGGCCACGTGACCCGGAAGTGTCTCCGGACAGCGCTGGCCCCTGGCCTCTTAAGTGAGATGGGCGCACAACCCTAGAGTCTGTCAAGACTGGCCCGTACGGGCAGGGGTACCTTTACCTTTACCTTTAACAGCTGCTATACTATGGTTGAACTATGGGGTTGCAACATTGGTACTTTGGTTGGCGCTGGGCTCCTGGGATGTCATCAAGCATTTCCAAAGGATGAATGACAGAAGAGCCTTTGCATGAAAGCTACTTGCTTATTTCACAAGGAGACTTTTGACATATAAACTTTTAGGCGCCAAAAAGAGCGAGCACCAGAAGGATATGGAATAATTCACACACACAACCCCACAACAGCTTGCCGTAAAAAAGCCTGTTGTTTCCCCTGCCTGGGGTTAAAGCCTTGAGATAAGCAGAGGCTAACAGAGACTGCGAACCAGTCAGGTAATAGGCGACCACACAGAAATAATTCAGCATTGGTTTGTAATCTGGCCTAGCTCAAGTAATCAGGTAGGTTACAGTGGTCAAAGTTCTCCTTATAGTATCTTGACCAGTACAAGTAGCATGCGATAATTCACAAAATTATAAGCAGCATCACAATTCTTAAGTGCAGAGTTGTCTTTGCAACAATACATTAATATCCAGCTGTGTGTAAGGCTGTATCACAGGACTCATCGGGACACAAGCAGATTTTTTTTGAATTAAAGGAATCAAGTACCTTTGGCCTCAGTACAGGTTCTCACATGCTTAGCCAAAGATGCTTAGCTATGATACATACTAATCTTTTGAGCCTGAGCACTGCATGCTCAATGAAAACTTGGGTGTAACACATGCTGCTTTAGTGTTTCTTCATTGAAAACCAATAATCCTACTGATTTGTCTGAGATATCCAAAGGGGAAATTAAGCTTTTAGGCTGGCGCGTCTCTAACAAAGCTAGCTATTTCCTGTGAGCTAAAATAAAACAGAAAACAGTCAGAGGAGATTTCAGGCATACCGTTTATCATAGCATATTGTTTGCTGAAACTGCAGCTTATGCAGTTCTTTTTTATGGTTTTAACACTAGCATCCCAAGTTCTGTAAAGTCTCTTGAACCTTGCATTACTCTCAGTTCATGTAAAAGTATATATCATTTGTATAGTCCACTTTAACGCCCAGAGCATATCTAAAAGTGTTTTACAATAAAATAGTGTCACATTCAAATTCTGGTTCAGGAAAAGAAGTTACATAGCATAGTGGATAATGTTGGACTAGGACATGGAAGACCGGGGTATAATTCCCACTCACCTGGGTCACTTACTCTCAGCCTTTCCTACCTCACAGGGACGTTGCAAGGATAAAATGGGGAGGGGAGAGCTACGTACACCACCTTGAACTCCTTGGAGGAAGGGTGGGATGGAAATGTAAGAACAGTAAGGAAAATCAATTATCCAGGCTGTATTTCCTGCCATAATAATAATAATTTATCACTTATACCCTGCCCATCTGACCGGGTTGCCCCAAACACTCTGGTGGCTTCCAAGAAAATATAAAGGGACAAAACAAAATATCAAACATTAAAAGCTTCTCCCTACAGGGCTCCCTTCAGAAGGTTGTATAGTTTTTTATCTGTTTGTCATCTGCAGGGTGGGTGCCACTACTGAGAAGGCCCTCTGCCTGGTTCCTTGTAACTTCGCTTCTCAGTGAGGGAACTGCCAGAAGGCCCTTGGAGCAGGACCTGAATGATGGGGGTGGAGACACTCCTTCGGCTATAGTGGGCCCCGACTGTCATACCAGGCAGCAGCTCCCACCAAAATTTAATTGAGGCTGGGGAGCCTTTCCAGTGCACCAGCGACATCAGAGCAGCTAAGCCAAAAGGTATTCAGAGGGGTTACGTGGTCCCACGGCGACATCAGGGATCTGCTGAAGAATTAACACTCGCAGCCTACAAACTCTGAACATGCTAGGCATTTTATTATTCCTACAGCTCCATCAACATACATGGTGCTTTACAGAGCAGTGTTTTAAAATCAATTGCTACATTTTCCATCAGATACATTTTAATTATGAGTGCATAAGGAAAAGCAGCCCAACATTCAGAAAATAATATGAAAATGTCCAGCTTGCATGTTAAGTAATTCATTCGTCCATAAAGTCCCAACCAGCTTCTCTTAAGAATGTTATGGCAAGCAGGGGAGCAAACCAAAGAGGCAAATTAGAAGTATTAAATGTAGGGAATGCATACTGATACTGAGTAGCTTATCCTTCATGAGAAAAATGTCACAATTACAAAAGAGAAATCTATATACACTGGAGTGTAAAAAGATCATGCCCTGTTTTCATTAATTATATACATAATTAAATATACTACATGACATCCGAGTCAAAATAATGGTAAAAGGCAAACAGAAATCCAAGAGCATGTTGATTCATTTCCATTCATACCACATTCTTGATATGCAGTCAAAGGCCACCCAAGCTTGGGAAAGGGACCAGGAAGATCTGTTAATTCCCTCTTGATACAGATCTCAACCAGCATTCCAGTAATGGCAAGACGTAAAGAGTAAAGTTTCCCCAACTCCAAAAAAGCAATCAGGAACTTTCAGCATGTGTTTTTGTATGAGAGTGTGCAAACATGTACACTAGGAAACCTTAAATACATAAACACAGCTGTTCTAAAAATAAACGGAATGTTTTTTTACTGCCAAGGATAATTTTGGAATCCCAAATCTGCAAATACGCTCACTAACATGCTGCCTCATTAGTGACCAGTACAAAAATCACTATATTCTTCAAAGCATCTTGCAGCGCCAGCTAACATTTCCACAGATTTGAAGCAGTGCCTTTTCACCATCAAACACACCAACAAGTCAGAGGGTTTAGCCAACCTTACATTTTGTCCTGCTCTTTCCAGGCACAGGAATACACTTAAAAGCCCCATATCTAAGCATTGGCTGTTGGGAGCTTTTTGCCCCACCAAAACATCAGTTCAGATTTTCTGTGGATTGCTGTTTGCTCTGACTGAGCTTTAAAGAACAGATTTTCACAGGGGAAAACCCTGGAGGCACAAGAAAGGATGCTCAGACACAGAGCCTTAAAGTGTGGGCTGTGCCTGGAAAGAGCAAAAGAAAGGGAAGCGCCGATAAGCCCACTGGAATCACACGTTTCTATTTAATTTAAAACTGGCTTGTGTACTGAAGACTTTTAACCCGTCATGTCACACCTATTCCTCCAATAGCTTCAGGAAGATCTTACCAGTCGGGAATGTGCAGTCAGAAACGGAGCGAGGGCAGCAGGAAAGAAGCAGAGTTGGAAGAAAAACCCAAGAGATGAAAAAGTGGTGTACATACTAATGTGTGTAACATACAAGGGCATCCACTACAAGCTGGAGTACTGGGCTGGGAATCACAACCCTGAGCACACAAAGCGCTTTGTGCAGTAGTTAGTGGCAGCTTCAGAGCAACCAAAGATAAGGGGCTGAACAAGAATAAGAACATGCAGCCAAAACTTCTTACACTGCTGGTTGAGAACTACAGATGGCTGAACCTGCAGGCATGTGGTCGGGGGACGGGACCCACCTGATGCAACAGAGAGGAAAAGAAGGTTATGGAATAAATAAGAGCATGAGAAGTATGGATGGTAAGTGAAAGCACGCAAAGGCAGCACTTATATGTGAGTTAAGCTCCACTGAAATAACTGACTGTTTACCTCTGAATACATACAACCAGGACTGAGCTATGAAACTTATTTTCTATGCTAAGCCTGGGGGCAGGTTGTTTGCCAACTCCTAACTGTTCATTAACTACATTTTACAAACTGGTTAATTTAAGGTTACTGACCAGAACCCCTAATAAGAACATAATCTACAGTTCCTTAGCACAATACATTCCAAAGATTTGTTAAGCCGTTCAGGCTTATCTGATCCCTACTAATCCCTGGCTGGACATCCTCCCAGTCTTTTACATATACCATGAGCTTCTCAGTGCATATTCATATATGTTTTCATACATCAGAACACTATTCTTTCATCCAGTGTGGTGTAAGGCAGCAAGAAGACATCCTAAACCACTGGATGATTGTAAATTTTGATGGAAATGAAGGCTCTGGACTTGTACTGGCACGGCTGGCCCAAATAATAAAAGGAGCCCTGATGGGTCCAGAAAAAAGTCCATTCAGACTAGTGTTCCATCCTTACCAAGTGAATATGGGAAGCCCACAAGGAGGGCATGAGCCCAGTAGCATGTCACATCTTAAAGGTGTTTTTAGGCTTTGGCGAGTCCATCCAAGCGGATACCACACTGCATTAAATAACCTTACTTTCCCCAAATACAGGTAGCGAGCCAGAGTAATTTACTGAGGACACTGTTGATACAAATATATACAAATTCAATTGTAGGCTGGAGCAGCAATTTTTCCAATCATGTGTTAACGGTAGTTGTTATTACAGGATATTTTTCTTTCAAAGCAATGTTCTGCAAACCAGATTCTACTAGTTTCCCATAGCGTAATCCAAGTAGCTCACACACAGCAACATTCTTTTGCCTTGGCTCTCAAGAGTCAACATTTCCCCCCCCCCCCAGGTCACCATTCTAGATCTTTGAAATCTGCTGGTTATCCACAACCAGGGACTCAGCTAGGTTGGTAACGAAAAGGCGATTTATATGCGTTGTATATGCGATATAACACTGTGCCACCAGATGGCAATGTGGAGTCTTGTTTTTCTCTACCTGTTTTCCCTATTTAAATTTACAAGTCATTTAACTGAAACACTTTTTTGATGTGTCTAGACGCAGCCCAGGTTTCTGAACGGAATCAGTACAGCCACTCTATTCCACAAACATCATCCCCATCTTCCATGACACATTTTGATTCTGCTTTTCCATTCTATTAGTCTTATCTCATTGCAACTCCCATAACTCCACAATTTTGTTTCTCCTTCATCCTTTCTCTACACTTACAATAACCTTTTAAACTGATTTTACCCCATTTCTGATAACAGCAGTTGGCACAAATACTTAACACGAATCCTCTTCATATTTACTACACAGATCTGCCATTATCTTCAGGCCTTCCCCATAATGTGTTATTTGCTAGACTCTGAAGTGGGTAGATATTTTTTTTTTAACACAACAGAGCAGCTTGATATTTATCCAAGGCAGCTCTGCGTTCAATTAAGTGTTGCATAGTCCTTCTGTAAAAGTTTTGCTTCTGTTTAGCCCTTTTGGTGCAAAGGCTAAATCTTGCTTAACATATGTTCCTAATCTCTCTTCCCCAAGCATGACCAAAATAAGACATTTTGTTTCTGTCAAAGGACTTCAAGGTCAAATACCTTCCAAAAGCATATTTTACGTGTATTTCACTTGCTGTATTTGAAGTGTCAAAATGGCATCAGTTGTATTCCTGCCAGGGTAAAAATTACACGAGCTAAAACGTTCTATTCCCTTAGCAAGGTGAGGCACTATATTTCCATACCATTTCTTTAAATAGATTATTACTTTGATTCCCCTAGAAGTCTCCATTGCCTCAACTTAACATCCTTGCTCTTAAAATTCAGTACTATGGATTTGTCCTACCTTTTAAAAATGTTCCTTGACTTTTGTATTTTCAGTCAGCTCTTTTACATGCCACCTTAAAGCTTCTACAAAATTTCCTCCTGTTCAGTCTTCCTCCTTCGCAAAATACTGCCTCTCCCAAGACTCACCTGCTTCTGTTTCATCTCTTGTATTCACTATCATTTATTCCACCTTCCAGTGCAAATTCATCTAAACTTTCTATGCTGAGAAGGGTACATTTATGACAATTCCAATTTTAATCGCTTAATTCTTCTAAAAGAGAGCTTAAAAGAAAAGTATCTATAAAAACTCGAAAAGCAGTGAATTCCTTTGTAGGATGAGAAAGTCCAGAAAACAAGGTAGATGATAAAAAACCCAGAGTTCACAAAATGCAGCTCACAAGGGCTATTTCAAAGCATTTAAGAGATCTGGCACCCAGTGTCTTTTTGAGGTTTTATATCTGGTTCTTTCACAGGTTTCACTTCCTCCTCTGGTTTTGGTTTAGCCTACAAATAAAAAGAAAAAAAGTGGTGTTACTGGAGCGCAAATGTTTTTTGTTTTTCTTTTAAATACAGATTTAAGCAATGTGGCTTTCAGAATCAAGAGACAAATAAGCCCCATTTGTGCATTTATATTCACCACATGAAAACAGCCACAGGGTGTACTATCAACGCCTGTTGCCTCTAGTGAGTCAGCTTCAGTCTATAAATTTGAGGGTAAAGGTTTGAAGTGGGGAGCCTCCACTTCTTGTGGATCTTCATTCTCCAACTTGTGGAGGGCTGTAAACAGACAACAGGACTTGATAGAGCCCCAACCTTTCCCCTGCTCTTTTCACAAGAGCAACACAAATGCCAAAACAGGGCTAGATTACTCAGGTTTTTTGTTTTTTTGAATTTGGTACACAAGAATGCAGAAGGCACTCTAAATTTAAGCCAGTTCTTCAGGTACTAAAAAAGTGCAGCTGCATATTATTCAATAGTGGTATCAACCAAGGCATATTTTGAAAGCTTTTCAAGAGAGTAACATTTCGTGCAGGGAGCCCTTGGAACAAGGCAAAGATATCCAAGACACCAAAATCCAACGCTTTCACAGCACCAATCTCCATCAACACCATTCTTTCTCCACAAAGCAAGGTGATGCTGATGCAAAAGGTAACTCAAGTTGGAAAAAGCAGCAAGAATTGCTTACACTGTCCTCCTTTGGCCTTTTGGTGAGATCAAACGCAGAAAGGGCTTCTGAAGTCCAGTGTGCATGCAAAGCAGGGAACTCAAAAGCAATTGGCTCAACCAGACCATAGTTTGCCTTCAGCTCCAGCTGGGGAGCCTCTGGGGGAATCTTCTGGAAGTAACTGGGGAAAAAACACCACGTTGGATTTTAGCAACCTCCTCGTTCTTCTCGTTCAGGACTCGGGATTCATGCCACAAGGCAGTGGGGACACTTAAAACAAACACACCTCACAGTCTGCACATTCATTCCTATATCAGGAGTGGGGGACCTCTGGCCCACGGGAATAATTAGGCCTGTGCAGCATCCTTTGGCCCACCAAGCTATGCCTACTGACCTACACCTGACACCATAAAGTATAAATCTGGCTCAGCTGAAAGGTTTGCAGGCACTGCCAATCAGCTAGGCTGTAAAGCACTATGCAAAGCACCGAGTGAGGCAGCACTCTGAAAGGGGCTCTTGAAGATCCAATCATCAGCTGGATGTCCCTTTCAAAGCACTGGGCAAGACAGTACAGTGGTACCTCGGGGTTACAAACTTAATTTGTTCCGGAGGTCCGTTCTTAACCCAAAACCGTTCTTAACCTGAGGCGCGCTTTCGCTAATGGGCCTCCCGCTGCCACCGGTGTGCGATTTCTATTCTCATCCTGGAGCAAAATTCTCAACCCGAGGTACTACTTCCAGGTTAGCGGAGTTTGTAACCCAAAGTGTTTGTAACCTGAAGTGTTTGTAACCCGAGGTACCACTGTACTTTGAAAAGGGGCTTCTGAACACTCCTGTGGGTCGAAAAGGTCAACTGGCACCACTGTGACATCAATTGATTGACAGGTGGGCTGCTCTGCCTACTTGCCAAATGTGGCCTGTGAGGAGCAGGGGAGATAATGATCTCACCCACTGGCCAGATCCAGTTCTTCACTGGCTGTCCTGTATTTAAGGTCTTCAACACAGGAGCACAACCCAAAAAGAATCCTGGAATGAAGATTTCAGAAGCACTTCAGGCTGCTTATTTTATTGCTGAAGTCTTGTTATAATTGGGAAATGGATAAAGCGCATGCCCTGCCAATTCCTTCTTTAACCAGAGAATGAAGTATGAAAGAATATCATCTTCTAGTGGCCTTTAACATCATTACTTTCAGCCATACAAAATGGCTGCTGATCTTCACACACTCATGTGCACCCATTAGTACTAATTAATTCCCATAGAACTCAGCAAGATCTACTTCAGCCTTCCTCAACCTCGTCCCTCCAGATGTTTTTGGCCTACAACTCCCATGATCCTTAGCTAGCAGGACCAGTGGTCAGGGATGATGGGAATTGTAGTCTCAAAAACATCTGGAGGGCCAAGGTTGAGGAAGCCTGATCTACTTCTTAGTTAATATGTTTGTGGCTTATTTGGCTGTTACTGTATTTCAAAAAACAAGCAAGATCATTTAAAAACTGCAAGTATTTGATGAAAGCACAGAAGAGACATAACAAACTTACATGAATCCATTCTCTCGCTGGCATTTTTCTAAGGTATTTTTCACCAGACTTCCCAGTTTCCGAAAGAAGAGGTGGCCAGAAGGCTTAGCTGTAGTTCCAGGACCTTTGGTTTCACCGTATTCTTTGCACAAAGCTTCAGCCTTGGCAAAAACTGAACAAGAAAACAAACGAGACCATACTCTTTAATTACTCCCCTTTGTAAAACCTGGTCAATCTACTGTTTTCACCAGAAAGGAGATTTGAAATACTGAGAACACAATCATGGGCATATCCTTTACACTTTATAGAACAATGACATGTACTTGGAAAAATGACAACAAGCTGAACAGTCACAAAGTGAGAATGTTGCTTTTTTTTTAACTTTTGCTGATTGTTCTACATTGGCAAAAACCAGACTACAACAACCATTGCATTTCCCCCCTATGTAAATCATTCTAGGCTTTTTTAAAGCAGAATCTCATATAGACGATTAGCAGATACAAAATCTGACTATCATATCTTTGTAGAAAATACTTTCAGCAAACATTTATGTTACAATTTTGCTCAGGTACAGTGCAGTCTTTCCTAGACTAATGATTTCTCTGCACCTATCAGTTTGGCACAGGAATATTTACCATAGCAAGTCCCGGACCAATTAAGAATGTTCTGAGGGAGATTTAATGTGACACTCTGATTCTCTGCATTTATGAGCAAGACTTTGGATGTTTTGATGTGTGGTAAATAGAAGGTAAAATCCCGTATTTTCCAGAAGGGAGAAACAAGGTACAAAAGAATGTAAGAGCAGGCCTGCTTGATCTGACCCAAGGCTACACCTTGTCTAGCATTCCGTTTCTCAGTGGCCAACCAGATGCCAGGAGGACAATAGCTCTCTCCCACTGTTGTCACCAGTAGCCATTTCCTCCATTTCCAATTTGTCTAAACTTATTTTAAAGTCATCAGAAGTGGTGACCATGATATGTTGTGGAAACAAATTCCATACTCTTAACTGTGTGCTGTATAAAATAGTAATTTCTTTAGTCAGTCCTGAAATCTTCAATATTCAGCATCATTGAATGGCTCCCAGCTTTAGTATTACAACAGAAGGAGAACATCATCTCTCTATCTGCATTCTCCTCACCATGCATAACTTTATAACCTCTATTATGTCCCCTCATGTTAAGACACTTTCTTGAACCAGCAGCGCCAAACATTGTAATCATTGCTCCTGTTGCTCTTTTTGGTTGCCCTGTTTGGGACCTTTCCCACCTCTAACACATCTTTTGGAGGTGAGTGATCAGAATAGGAAACAATATTCCAAGTGTAGCCACACCAAACATCTGTATGCAGGCATTATTATGTTAGCAGCTTTGTTTCCTAACGATCCCCAACAGGGAATCTGCATTTCTCACAGATGCCAAACCCTGTGCTGACACTTTCATGGAGCTAAATGCTAACAATGCATTTTACCATTTTAATGTCCATTCACCCAGCTTGGAGAAAACTTTTTGGAGCTCTTCCCAAGATTTGTTTTTACCACCTGAATAATTTGGCATCATCTGTGAAAGCCTGGCCACTTCATTATTGTTCACCCTTAACTCCAGATTATTTATGAACAAGTTTAAAAGAATTTTTTAAAACCACCATACATACATTTTTCTGATTCCTGCAAAGACCTAATGGCTTCTCCACATTTATCACCGGCCAGGAGTGTTTGACCATGGTAGCAGTAGGCCTGGTGAAAGAATACATTTGTTAAACAGTTATGACATAGTTAGGCAAGCTAAGGCCTGGGGGCTGGATCCGGCCCAAACGCCTTCTAAATCCGGCCCGCAGACGGTCCGGGAATCAGCGTGTTTTTACATGAGTAGAATGTGCCCTTTTGTTTAAAATACATCTCTGGGTTATTTGTGGTCCATAGGAATTCGTTCATTTCCCCCCCTCCAAAATATAGTCCGGCCCCCCACAAGGTCTGAGAGACAGTGGACCAGCCCCCTGCTGAAAAAGTTTGCTGACCCCTGAATTACGACATGCTGTGGAGCAACATTAAAATGCCACTTGCTTCAATGGTTGAGGCAGAAGAACAGCAGAATCATGACCTGGGAAGCATCACCAACAATCCAACCAGGGAGCAAAAATGGAGAATATGTACGAAGTGCATTTCTGGTCTCGTTCACAATGCACATCTTCATTTGAAACAGTACACAATTGTCATTGTCCACTGCAGCAGAATCATACAGGTAATGGATTGCTGCTGTGGGGACAAGATGCTGGGCCTGATATAGTATAGGAAATTTAAGAGCATCCTATCAAAAATACACTCTTCCTGAAAACTACTGCTTTAAATAGAACACAAAGCTTTGATTGCATTCTATGCTAGTATTTTATGGCCCTTTGGAAATCTTCTTGAAATATTTATAAACAATGACAGAGCACTCACATAGGCCATATAGAAACATGACTTCAGCTGAAGGTATTTTCGCCACTTGGTTGTATATGCTGGGTCCAGGCTGGATAACATTTGATCTGGAAGGAGAAGACAGCATTACATTTACAATAGCCATCCTCTTACTGTGACTGCTGAGACACTAATTTGGTATGAAAGCTTTAGTTACTCTGGAAACTGTCTTTAATATGTATGGTTGCAAGATACACCTCACTTATTTGGAGAAAACTACAGCAAGTCAATTAAGTTCTCAACCTAAGTTTGTTTCTTGCCCCAGTTAGCTATAAAGAGGAAAAGGTAAACATTATCAAGTCAGTCTACTTTCCGGAATCACGGTTAACCCAAACCAAGACCCTTGTTAGCTAAATCTGAGAGCCATGGAAACCATTTACTGTCCATAATATTTCCTTGGTATTCTTTCAGTGCTTAGGAGCCTGTACTTTAGGACTTGCTTAAGAAGCTATCAAGAATTCATACAGCAATGCTTTTTGACATACCTGCTCTTTGATAGAAATTAGCTGTTTCATAGGCCAGAGCAGCTATTAGACCAGGATTGTGTTTCAGTTCAATAGCTCGGGCAATAGTCACTGAAACAAAAAGTAGATATGCTGAAGCTATTTCCTGTAGTTGATGGTGATTAAAAGTATAAGTGAAAAATTGGCCACAGAAGTCCTGTTCAGAAATAAATAAAAGGTAACATGTTTCTAACAGTTGAGCCGCACCAGATGAACAACACAGACGCCTCCTGCAGGAATAGACTAAAAGGCCAATCTAGTCCAGCGGCTTGTGCTCACAGTGGCCAATCAGATGCCTCTGGGAAGCCCACAAGAAACAGAACTCTCCACACTTGCAATCCCCAGCATATGATACACTGCCTCTGACAAAGGAGATAGAACACAGCCATTGCGGCTACTAGCCATTGAGAACTTTACCCTCTTTTTTAAAAACCACCAAAATTGGTAATGATCACTACATCTTGTAGGAGCAAATTCCCCAGTTTAACCATACACTTTGTAAATAATTTGAGACCCTGAGACCCCTGCCCCAATTATTGAAGGAAATCACTCAAATACCAGGCTCTGCTATCTTAAAGTTAAACTGAATTATTCATAGCTGCTGGTAGAAACAGGAAAGGTCAGATTTCACAATGAAAAAAGGTACAAACATTGCTCATGGCTGAATGTAGCTAATTAAATTAGCAAAAGTGATATCATGAGTAATAGAACTGGACAGATGCCCCAAAGCTAATAACACGGGCATTATACCAAAGATCACAATAATGTTCTAGTATAGTTGTGCATATATGTCAGAATGAAAAGGATGGGGTCACAGGTGTTCAAGCCAGAATAGAAAATTGAAATTACCATGTCAAGAGCAATGTCAGAACATGAGGATGTCAGCAGTAAACCTGTCAACCTCTCCTCTATCCTATTACTGCTCAGCTTAGTCAGGAGCATTTGGCGAGGTACTTTATCAAAGGCTCTTGAAGGTCTTAAGTACATGACGCTGACTGGCTCACCTCTATCTATATGCTTGTCGACACTCTCAAAAGGACAGAATTTACCCTCACAGAAGCCATGCTGACTCCTTCAGCAAGACTTGTTCTTCTATATGCTTGGTAATCCTATATTTCCAGCAGTTTTTCCAGAACAGACATTAAGCTAACCAGATCCCCTCTGGATCCTGTTTTTTAAATATTCCAGCAATTGAGTATTTCCATTTCCAAGGATCAGAAATAGAAATATTCCTTAATTAACTTGATACAAAGGGAGAAAATCAGTTAAATAAATAATCTACTGAGTTTCATAACCAATGTTTTCAAATCCATTATGAGGAAGGACATTAGTCCTGCATGGAGCTTACAGGTTTGATTGTCGGTGTCTCCAATTATTGGGATCAGGTAGCAGGTGATGAGAAACATCTCTAAATCACTGGGAGCTGCTACCAGTCAGAGTAGACTACATTCAGCTAGGTGGACAAATACTGGCCAGGGGCATCTTCCTATGCCCCTAAAATATCTGGATTTTGCATTATTACTATATAAAAGCAGCCCCACTGCATCAGGCCAAAGGCCCATCTAGTCTAGCATCCTGTCCTCACAGCAGCCAACTAAATGCTTACAGGCAGCCCACAAGTATGAGGTAAAATGCCAAACCACATTCCACCCTAGAGTTCCCCAGGAGAGAAAATATAAAGAAATCCAGAGAGAGCCCTTAAAAATTGAAGGAGTACCTTCTTGTGCTTCAGCTTGGCACTGGATAACGTAGGAATCTATCAGTCGAGCTTCTAAATCTCTTCCCTTTTCTACAGGAGTGATCAGCTTAGGGATGTGGCTTTCCTAAAGGGGAAAAATGTAATTTAAGATATGTTTGAAGTGCTATAACCAAACAGAGGTAACATCTGAAGGAAATGACCAAGGAGTAATGAGATCACAGGTATAACCCTGGACTGGTTCTGGGATGGGCACTGGTGGCCCTGTACTTCAGTGCTTCTGTTCTTACCTTCTGTATGATTAACAGAGTGGCTTTCAGATACTATTTGGGCTGCCCCCTGGCACTTCTGCTATGGGGTTCCCCAAGGTACCATCTTTGCCCCCAATGCTTTTACCAAACCACTGAGAGTAGTCATTAGGAGACTTTGAGCAAGACGTCACCAGGGACCTGATGACACTCAGCTCTACCTCTCTGTTACATCTAAATCAGAGGAGGCTGTGCAAGTCCTGGATCAGTGTCCGGAGTCAGTGATGGGATGGATGCAGGAAAATAAATAGAAGCTGAATCCTGAAAAGATTCCTGAAGGAGCAGGCACATGATTGTTAGTAAAGGTAAAGGTACCCCTGCCCGTACGGGCCAGTCTTGACAGACTCTAGGGTTGTGCGCTCATCTCACTCTAGAGGCCGGGAGCCAGTGCTGTCCGCAGACACTTCCGGGTCACGTGGCCAGCGTGACGAAGCTGCTCCAGCGAACCAGCAGCAGAGCAGCACACGGAAACGGCCGTTTACCTTCCCACTATACAGCGGTACCTATTTATCTACTTGCACTTAAGGGTGCTTTCGAACTGCTAGGTGGGTTGGGACCGAACGACGGGAGCTCACCCCACCGCGGGGATTCGAACCGCCGACCATGCGATCGGCAAGTCCTAGGTGCTGAGGTTTTACCCACAGCGCCACCCGCGTCCCTCCCACATGATTGTTACATATTATTATTTTTATTTATTAAACCCGGTTTCTAAGCAAACTAGACTTTTAGCATCGCGGCACCACTATTTTAGAACATGCTTCTATTGAAATCAAACAGGCACCTACAGTTTTTATATTTCATTACCTGTTGTTGAAAACATTATTGTTTTGATACAGCTTTTTATAGAATTAATTTGATCCAGTGCTGGGTCATCTGTTCTGTACTTAATACGTTTATAATATTATGATGTTTAAATGAATTCATTGCACACTGCTATATTTTTCACGTGTATTGTGGGTTTATAAATAGTCTTGCAAATAAGTAAAAGTATTGTGCCATTCTACTTCCAAGTAAAGGAATGAATTCTCCGACTCTGTGAAGTGTATGGAGCATTTATGGCTACCATGGAATTCCAGAGGTATGTGGATCAACAAAAGACAGTTGCTATTAGATCAGGCCCCACTAGTCAATAAGTCATTCCAAAATTGAGAAACAGCATGTGGTACAGTCTCCCTAGGGCTTAACTGCTTGCTTGAATGCACCCTCACATCAAAATCTCCTTGCATTAGGAAGATTTGCCCTATAAACTACAAAAAGAAAAAGAAAAAAAGACAAGCTTCCAAGAGATTTGGAGTGCATTTTTGAAAGTGCATTACTCAAGAGTAATATCTACACAACTAGAAGAAGTGGGAAACACAATGCAGGGACGAAACCCTCTCCAGTTTAACAGTTTTTAATTTGGGATTCAAACAGAGCAGTGGCACTCATTTATCCTAACCTTTTTCTGAGCATGTGAGCCTGAACAATGAAATGAGGGCAGGCTGGGGAAAATTGGGCAGGGGTGGTTGTCGGAGGGAATAAGAGACTGTTCTGTTTACTGTAATAAGGCCAAACCCTAATAACCATCTCCTCCCCCCTCCCCATTGTTTAGCTTGTTTTCCATGCATACAAATATGGTGATATTGGAATGCCTTCAAGCAATTCCCCCATATAATTCCTGATGTGCAACTATCCCATGGTGGGTATTCCACAGACTTTTCATAAACATCTGAAGTTGTTCTTCGTTCTCAAAATTAAGTTATTGTATAAAAGGAGGGGAATCAGAACATCCCCCAAAACAAGGGTTATACTGACCAAAAACAAAGCAAGAATGAAAACAGGATCTTCATAAGAGGATATACGGTGTGTGTGTTGTTTTTGTTATTTAAATAAAATGGGTTTGTACCTTTAAGTGTTTGAAAATCCCAGCTGCTATTTTCATACTCCTGTGGACATCTTTTGCTTCATCTTCGGTTATGCTAAAGGAGGAGCAACAAATTAGTACTGCAGCTCTCCAAGGATATTAAACATCACCCGAATTTACTCCCATTTAACCTCATCAAATTTTCCAGAATTCTCCTTGGCCAGGTTTATTTCTAATGTCTGTTATCTCACCCCATTTCAGGAGGGGTCGCTGTAAATAACCTTTGTTTTAAATAAAAAAAATTCCTTCCAGTAGCACCTTAAAGACCAACTAAGTTAGTTCTTGGTATGAGCTTTCGTGTGCATGCACACTTCTTCAGATGTATCTGAAGAAGTGTGCATGCACACGAAAGCTCATACCAAGAACTAACTTAGTTGGTCTTTAAGGTGCTATTGGAAGGAATTTTTTTTGTTTTGACTATGGCAGACCAACACGGCTACCTATCTGTAACTTTGTTTTAAATGTCTGATACAGCCGAGACAGTCTGAAGATAAAAGCTGTCTTATACCAGATCAAAGTACAGTCATACCTCGAGTTGAATGTGCTTCAGGTTGAGCGCATTTGAGTTGCGCTCCGCGACAACCCGGAATTAATGGAGGGCGTCACTTCCGGGTTTTGACGCTTGTGCATGCGCAGATGCTCAAAATGATGTCACGCGCATGCGCGGAAGCGGCGAAACGTGACCCGCGCAGACGTGCCGTCACATCTTGCGTTCCGTTCGGGATGCGAACGGGGCTCCAGAACGGATCCCGTTCGCATCCTGAGGTACCACTGTAGTTGTGCTGTGCATCTAGCTCAGCATTGTCTGTACTGACAGACAGGCAGGGTCTCAAGCAGATGCCTTTCCCTTTTCTCACACGCTGATTTCTTTCACTAAGTATGTCAGGGATGGAACTTGGGACCTTCTGCATGTAATGTGTGTTCTGTCACCAATTATAAACGTCAGTCAACACAGCCCAACAACTGCAGCTCCAGTATGTACAGTGGTGCCTCGCAAGACGAAAAGAATCCGTTCCGCGATTCTTTTTTTCTAGCGGTTTTTTCGTCTTGCGAAGCAACCCCATTGGCGGCTAAGCGGATTAGCGCTATTAGCGGATTAGCGCTATTAGCGGCTTAGCAGCTAAGCTGTTAAAAGGCTATTAACAGGTTAGCCGCTTTGAAAAAGGGGGGGAGCGGGGGGGGGAATGGCGAGACTCGCAAGACGTTTTCGTCTTGCGAAGCAAGCCCATAGGGAACTTCGTCTTGCGAAGCGCCTCCGCGACGGAAAACCCTTTCGTCTAGCGGGTTTTCCGTCTTGCGAGGCATTCGTCTTGCGGGGCACCACTGTATCTGGCACTCCCAAACTTGGCCCTCCAGCTGTGTTGGGACTACAGCTCCCATCATCCATAGCTAACAGGACCAGTGGTCAGGGATGATAGGAGTTGTAGTCCCAAAACAGCTGGAAGACTGAGTTTGGGGATGGCTGCTTTGGACCCTGGCGTATGTTTCCATACCTAAAACATAATCCTCAAATGGAAAGCAGAAGAACAGAAGATGCAACATATATATCCCATGAAAAACAAGACTGTCTTCACTTGCTACCTTATGGCTAGGAAGGCAAGTGCCAACAGAGCATTCCATAACCAGAGTGCCATCATTGAAGAACGTAAGAGCCCTGCTGGATGGGATGAAAGCCCCATCTAGTCCAGCATCCTGTTTCCACAGGGACCGACCAGATGTTTAGGGAAAACCTACAAACAGGACATGGGCACAACAGCACTCTTTCATTGTCTATGGGAGGAAAAGAACAGAAGGGCCTATGTCAGGTCACCAAGTACCAAAAACTCTGAAGGAAGGGGAACCTGGAGCAGGAGCTCTGATGAGAATATCAGAGAAGGGCAGGCTCAGATAACAATAGCCAGTCCTTCAGATATGCTGATCCAAAGCCATATATGTGCTTTATATAACCACTATATATGCTACTTCACAATTTCGTCTGTTGGCTTAATTGATGTTTCAATGGGCTTAAGCACAACTAATGCTGCACAGGAAAAGAGGTAGATAGTTTAGAAGCCTATTACTAAAGCAAGAATACTTACTCTTCTTTTCCTGCCAACCTCGATGCATATTTTGTGTACCACAAAGCCACATTAAATCCCATGGAAATTAATTCAAACACAGCATCTTGTTGGGCACTAAGGGACAAGGGAAGAGAAAGAAAGAAAAATATAAACTCAAATGTTTTTTTGCATCAACTACAACACACTGTAAAGTACTCCACCTCTCTTTTAGAGACTTCTAAGGCGAACAAACAATCTTATGTTTAGTTCCTTCCTCACCCTCCCATCCCAAATCATGTGAGCAAACCCCAGAGTATTCAAATGTACGCTCCTCACATAGATTTCAGACAACTTGAAAAGGATAATTGTTTAGTCAGAAACAATTTATGCTTTGTTTTAAACTGGATTAAGAATGGTTGAAGCATAACTCTTGTGCAAAATCCAAGTCTCCATCAACCCCTCCAAACAAAGCACAGAATAGCAGTCAGAACTTTTACAGTTCCCTATAAAGAGCAACTGAGAATGTACTAGAAGGTGTTTTAAATGGAACATTTTATCTTAATCAGAATTATTCACATGCCCTGTAAAGATAAATTTCATATGAACTAATCTTCTTCTCTCTGGGGTTCTATGATAAAAATTTATAATAATAAACTATTATTTATACCCTGCACATCTGGCTGGGTTTCTCCATCCATTCTGGGCAGAAGGGTTTGCAATTCGGGGGGGGGGCTGCAATTACCCATACAAACACCCTAAACATGCAGATATTGTGGAAGACCAAATCATAGGAGAATATATATAAATATATATTTGTTTCCAGGCATCAACAACTTGCCTAATCATCGTGGCTTGGTTTAATGTGAATAAGCAGTGTGCTCCAGCATTCTGCTGGAAATGCAAGTGCTTTGTGCCCCTCGTTCCTGCTAAGCCAGAGAGGAAGCAAGTCATTGTGCGGCTTGTCATTAGTATTCATTTATAAAAATATTTATATACCACTAATTCATAAAGAAAATCTAAGCAGTGTAGAACTGTACAATCCAGCCTCTCAGTTACCAAAATATGGACTACTTGAGAACCCAGGCTTACAGGTTTTTTCTCTTGGAACAAAAGATAAGTCAATCAGCTAATTTTATTATTTATTTATTTATTTATTTATTTATTTATTTATTTTTACCCCGCCCATCTGGCTGGATTTCCCCAGCCACTCTGGGCGGCTTCCAACAAAATATTAAAATACAATAACCTATTAAACATTAAAAGCTTCCCTAAATAGGGCTGCCTTCAGGTGTCTTCTAAAAGTCTGGTAGTTGTTTTTCTCTTTGACATCTGGTGGGAGGGCATTCCACAGGGCGGGTGCCACTGAGAAGGCCCTCTGCCTGGTTCCCAGTAACTTGGCTTCTCGCAGCAAGGGAACCGCCAGAAGGCCCTCAGCGCACCTCAGTGTCTGGGCAGAATGATGGGGGTGGAGACACTCATTCAGGTATACTGGACCGAAAGGATAAAGCCCATCAGCTGATTTGATGTAATTTTTTTTATATAATTTATACAATGTTTTAAATTATATTTTTACCACTGGGCCTTGAAAGAAAGGGCACGGCATAAACAGAAGTAATAAAAATAGTTACAATAGGCACTGAAAACCATACTACATGTAAGTAAGTACCTTGGTACTTGTCCTTGCAAGGTGTCTGTCCACTTAAAATTCTGAATATATCTCAGCTTGCTGTCCTGTGAAGAGTCATCCAATGAAACTATAAAGCCTGTTAAAACAAACACACTCCTCTAAAATTCAAAGTAATTTTCAAAATGATGATCTTGATCTTCAGCAATTGTTCCTGAGTCTACTACTCAGCCTTACATACGTAATTTGTTTATATGTGGACTTTCACTATTTAATAGCCCCCCAAGATCCACTCCACTGGGCTAATTGGGGGCCAGTTTTAATGCTTCATATTGTACTGTACATCTTCTACAGGCTCATTGCATAAACCGTCTAATAAATATATTAAATAAAATTGTTTCATTATTAGGTGGAAAAGCAGAATTAAGAAAGCTACAGAAGTACAGCATTTTCCTACTGGTGTCAAATATGTCAAGTACATCCACTAGACATATGAATATCTGGGCCACTGATACACATATCATGCCCATTGGGCTAGTGTCCCATTTCTATCTTTTATTGGCACAGCTGAGAATTTGTGCTGTCTATGCCAAGCACAGAGATTTATTTACTGAAACTACTAGTAACCAGAACAACTATGCCAGCTGCACTGATATCTTACCTTTCAAGAGTGAAAAATAGGAATCAGTTGCGTTTTTCATCATATCTGGATTACAACTAAGATCTGTAAAAAGCTCCAAGAGTCGGCTTCGTGATAATCTTAGATCACTGCATTAAGAAACACACCAAAAACACAGTTCAAAGACAGATACTTTGGAGAGATTCAGTGTTGGATTGTCTCTTATTTCAGTACTTTCAAATGCATGTTGTATGTTGAGAAGCCCCACTGATTTTTTAGAACCACTTACTTGCAAATCTTTGTTGCAGCTGGAGTGGTGGCTACCCCATAGTAATTGAATGAGACAGGAGCTGTAGCCTTTAAAGGGTTTCGATGAAACCAGTGAGTCATTTCTGAGTGTCTCCTGCAGGCTTAGAACTACAGCAAGCCTGAAACAGCAAAGGGAAGGGAAGAAACTAGAGATTATAAACATAAATACCAATCTTCAGCAAAAATAATAATGATAAATGGTATCTAATTACTTAGAAATAATTCTTCATTGCAGGAAAGACTTAAGGGTACAATCCTAGACACATTACTACCACGCAAATCTCCCTTACAATTTATTTACTGTATTAAAATTATTTGTATATTGTCTTGCATTTCCAAACACAATAAAGTGGTTACAGGGCAATAAAAACGGCAACATTTAACAAAATGTAACAATAAAAGCTGTATCAGTAAAACATCCATTACAATTACAGTGGCCAGATATGCCAGGAGTTAGTATTAACAGTCAAAAAGAGCTTGGGTAAAAGGAATGTTTTTAGTGGCTGGGGGGAGCATCTAATAGTTGGTGCCTGCCTGATCTCCAGAGCACTTACTTCTGAGAAAGGACTGCACTATATGAAACATCTACTCTATTTTTTAAAGTCAGTATTAGCTAAGGTGGCAGCACGGAAATGAGTAACCCTTTAACACCCAGTTTAATATGACTAGTGCAGCAGAGATATACTACATAGCATGATATACTTTTGCAGAAGGATAAATCTATTTTAATTTATCTTTTCCAGTTTTCATAAGATAGGCATTGTTCTGGAATAAACACAATAACACAATAACCACAAGAATATTTTAAGAGGCAAGAAGTACAGAGCACTCATACAACTGCATCAGCTAGATTTGCTACTCAGAATTTCTATCAATGGGGCCATTATTAACTTGTCTTTTGTATCTGTGAGTTCACGCTAGTCCATAAGATGCCTTTGTTTTAGTGTCAAGAAATATTTGCTTAGAACTAGTTAAACTTGACTGTTCAGATCAGATATCTGATTGGGTTTTTTTGTAAGCCCACTCCTGCATTAGTAGATTTGTTCAACTGTGAGGCTTACATGTATGTAAAAAAGCATCCAACGCTTTCACAAGCTTAGCCTGCATTAAAGCAGAAGAAAGTCTGCAGCAGCTGCTTTTGGGAAAAACCAATATTTCCTAGCAGAATGGACTCATAGTACAATTAAATATTAAAAGCAAGTAGATTGTGATTAGGATAGTTAAAGCAACACTTTGAACAATCTAATTACTGTAATTTCACCCCCACTGTGTTTTTCAAGAACTTAAGAATGGGATACCTTTACAACAGTTGCCCCAGACAAACTATATTTACAGAAAGCACTTCTATATAATTAGAAGTTGCTTGTGCTCTCTTGATTAATGCGTATCACTTTAGAGCATTAAGAAACTTCTGCTTGAGTCTATTGACTGAGATGCTGCACAACCACTAAACTTATACCGTACAACATAAATGCTGATGTTCATCTAATATTTCTTAGCAAGCTTCTTTAGAGCAAAACCCTCAGTGCAGGCTTCCTTTACAAATAACATTACAGAATCTTTTCCCATTTGTAAATGGCATAAACAAGGGCTGTGATCCAATGTGCATGTGAAGCTATGTACACGTATAGTGAGAACACATACAGCTGGTATTATCTTTGAAAGTTCCATTGTAGGCACTTGCCCAGCTCAAGAAGCAAACTGATTTTAAACTGTAAAGCACCTTGTCTGATCCGTCATGCAAGAGGCTCCAGCAAAAAATATAAAAGACACCCCCAATTGTGCATGTAGTTTTCCACCATAGCAGCACAAAGGTTTAAAACCACAGCCCAGGTTCTACTCTACACCATTTTGCATCTAACATCTATTTTATTAATACAGTTCTTAAAAATAAATATTGTCCTTCTCAAATTGGTTATTTCAGTCCACCATTACAGCTTAATGCATATGTGGATGTTTATACAAGAAGTCACGCTTATAAGGTCAGGACTGGTTAACTGAACTATTAACCAATAGTCATAAAAACACCCAAATAATAGCCTAACAATGCCTAAGCCACTACACTGACCTCTGTTTCATGCCGGAGAATCATAGCTGTCAACCTTCCCTTTTTTGCGGGAAATTCCCTTATTCCAGCACCATTTCCCACTGCTTCCCGCTGCTATTCCGGATTGTTAGATATCCCGTAGACTGTTCCCAGGACAGGTGAGGCTACTGATCCCTTATTTTCAAATCTAAAAGTTGACAGCTATGCAGAGAATCTTGCAAGTCCTCAGTCTGCTGGATGACCATTAGGCTAAACCAGTGGTTTTCAACCAGTGTGCCGTGGCACCCTGGGGTGCTTTGAATGATGGTCAGAGGTGCTGCGGGCAACACTGGCCTCTGTCCCTCCCCTCCTTCCTCTGATGCCCTCACATCTCTGCCTCCCAAAGGCTTTCACAGCTGTTTATTGCAGTTGCCCTGGCTATCTTTATGGAAGGTGGGCAGCTCAGAGACCAGGGATGACTTTAGCAGCTGCCCAGAGAACTCCCAAGGAGATGGGAGAGCAGAGGAGGCTGAAGGAAAACTCCACAAGGGAGGGTGTTTGAAAAGGGTGAGGCACTGCCAGCTCTGCAGGCAAGGGGTGACATAACTGGGCTCCTGAACCCCACAGGGGTGCCACAGAAAGAATGTAGTTGGTTAAGGGAGCCATAGACTCAAAAAGCTTGAAAACCACTGGGCTAAACAAAAGGAGATTACTGCATGCTTCTCCTCAGTCTGGGACTAATGAGAGAATGAAAGCAAATTGGGATTGAAGAGGTGTTCCTGATAGCACATATACCCCTCAAGGATCTTTTAAGCTGTTAGATGTCTACCTCTTCACAATGCAATATAAAGAATCTATTGGGATACTTAATTTGGAGCCTCTGACCTAAATCAATCACTTCACAGAACTATTTAAGCCATGAACAGGAAAGAGCCTCCACCAGGTTAATAGGGTAGATCATTAATGGAGGAGGAATATGTATCATCGCAGATGTTTTCCCCGAAATTTCCTGTTTACCACACACACACTTTCCATGCAGTGTCTCAGAGGAGTCAAGGATGGCCATCATCCGCCCCAGCTTCACACCAGAGCACTATAGTGACCAAGCAGATTTCCCCCATCGCTTATCCCCACCTCACCTCCGTACAAATGTTTGCACTGAATCAATACTTTTCTACCCCAGGGCAGCAATCCTTTACCTCCCTACTGGGCAACAGGCCCCAGTGAACTCAATGTGACTTACTTATGAGTAGACATGCGGAATGAAGGAGTGCACATACCTCCCTCAAATCCCTGGCAAAACTTAGCGGATTGAGAAAGGCAAAGTAGTGCTTCTCTACAGGGCGTGGTCATCTTTTGCTTATAAACATTACTTCACTCGTCGCAGGCCCTGCCAAGGGGAATCTCTTCCCCGTCTGGCCTCACCAACACACAACCGGGCCAAACACCGGAGTATTAAAAAGAGCACGAAGTCGCGTCCCGCCAACCCTCCGGCGCGTGTGTGTTTGTGTCTCCCCCATCAGCGGCCGCCTTTCTCGGCCTTTCCTCCCCAGGGCGGGGCTGCTCTGTTTACCTTCTCTCCGCCAAGCTCTTCCTGCTGCGCCGCTGCTACGGCAACCACTTCCTGCTTGTGGGTGCGGGAGGAAAAGAGACCGAGATATAATAAGAAGGATCCCGGGCGGAGCAGCTCCTCCACTTCCGGCGCCGGCTTCTCCTCCCGCCGGTCTCTATGGTGCCGCGCGGATCCGGGAAGCAGGCGCGAAATGGCCGCGCCGCGAAAGCCGAGGGAGTCGCTCGCGCAGCGGAGCGGCCTCCCCGCAGTAGCCCGAGCGCATCGATACCTCTCAAGCCTGCGAAGGAGGAAGGGGGAAAGCGGATCCCCACGCCTCGCCCCTGTCTCTTATTGCTCCCAGCCGGAAAGACACGGGACTGCGAGGGAGTAAAGCCCACGGAGCCCAATGGGATTTTGAGCCAGCCTGCACCCGATGGCCTTGCCAGTCTGTTCCTCAGACAGGTTGCCATGGGCTCAATGCAAGACACATAGGTTTCAATCTTGCTTGGATGCAAACCCTGCCGATTAATGGGTGATCTACTTCCCACAAAGTGTAGAGGCTTAATCATTTTCCTGCTATGGTATCTGCCACCCGCGTGCATTCTGAGGGACTCATCCTGCACAGTTTTTTCCTCTCCTCTCAACCCCTGATAAGGAGCCAAGACCCTATCAGCGGGGAAAGGTTATTCATGGCCTGCTCATCGGTTTGCTCCAGGACACTTCTTATATTAACTCACTGCGTTATAAACTATAGGTGTCAAAGTTGCTCACTGTTAGAGATCGCAATCGGGGGGTGGGCGAGAGGCTCTGCACAACTGCGGTATCTGGCGCGGTTGCGGCAATCCATAATAAACGGCTTGCTCCGAAGTAGTCCCGTTGACTACAGCAAGACCACTTTGATCTGGAATAAAAAGTTGTAGATTGCGATCTCTCTCACGCGAGCTAATGGCCACCACGAGCTATCAATTGCAAGAGAAAGTAGGACAATATTGTTCCATCCTTCCCTTTTGTTAGTGCAACTGCCTTAGGCAGACATAAAGGGGGGGGGTCCTGATTTTTCGCGCGATTCAGGCTACAATCCTATGCCAATTTACTGAAAAGTAAGCGCCACTGAACGTAGTGGGATTTGCTTCTAAGTAATCATGCGTTGCATCAGGCTGCGGACTACCGTGTTAATACGAATCTTTGTCCACGAGCTTTGTTCCCAACTGCGGTCATCCGTGAATTTACTTTTAAGGTAATCCTACCTGAAACCAATGGGATTCATTTCCTAGGTAACTAAGTTGCTAGAACTCTTAGAATTATCACATGGAAGGTAGGAACTTGGGTTTAAGTGCCCATTGAAATCAGTTCAGTTTGCTTTGGAGACAGCACTGAGATTGTACTTCCTATCAAAAGGATTTTAATAGCAAAGCAGGAAATGGATTGTTTAGTGAGGGGAGGGGGGGAAACGCAGCCTGAAAAATAGAACAAGCCTTCGAGAAGTGAGGTCTATGCTTAGCTAGGCAATAATATACATACTGTACAAGAGTAGACAAAATAAAGCCAAGGAGGTGGCATTAGAAGGAAACTCCCCAGTGTACAGAAGTTCTCCTATGTCCACATCCACAAATATCCCCCACACAATATAAGGATGAAAACATGCCTTCTTAGCGCCCTGTGCCTAATTCTGCATGAAAGCATCGGGCTGTCGCGGTGTTTTGAGCTCTGCCTGAATGCAATGGCACTTCCGTGTAAACATTTCAAAGGATTGAGCTGTTGAAACACTACGATCGGCAAAGAGAGGAAGGAGACAGGGTACATACCGTTGTCTTTTAGTTCGGATGCTGGTGTGGAGGGGTTGAAACGCAAGATAAACGCACATTTTTAGATAATATAAATAAAGTCTGTCTGTAGCACTCACCTCTACCCACGACGGATTCGTTAGCCCACTTATATAGACCCAGATATGGTGGTAAGCAGGAGCGTGATGACAGGTTGATCCAAGACCTTGTCAATAAATGCGCTAAGAGAGACCCTAAACTCCCGAGACAGATCTACTAGCCGAAGATCACGTGTCCTCCCTTGCCCTGGCAAGAATCAGGTAACGAGGCGGAAGTGCTTCGGCTGGTGCCATCGTAGAAATGGGGCGGGGCGGCTGCTTCAGTAGCGCCTGGACGCAGGGTTAGGTGCCCCTCGGGGAGGTAACGGCTGAAGATCGGGAAGCAGAGAGAGCATGTAGGCTTTTTATTAGGGAAGCTCGCCTCTAAATGCCGCGGGGCAGAGCCGTAATGCAGAAACGGGGCAGTTAGTCTATCATCCGTGTCTCTATGTTGCCGTGGCCTTTTTTCTTTGCATTGGTTGCCCGGCACGTTGCCCACAGGAGGTAACCACGCCCACGCGCCCCTCCTCTGCCTCCGGGTTTGAATTTGAGTTTTCACGCGCGCTGTGGAGGGGTGCAAGCACCGACGAAGTGCGTGTAAGGCAAGGCGTCTTGAGCCCCAGCTGAGCGCTGCGTATTGGTGGAGAGGACAACTCGATTACATTTTTCCTATAATAATCCTATGGATTTTGTATGTGTCTGCGTGTATGCGAATATCTGTATAGCCCTAAATATAAAGTGACATGTAGGGAGCATATAACTTCTATTGCAGGGCCTACCTTTAAACTCCGCTAACAATATAATCCCCGGGGGAATTCCGTCGGGCTACTACTGCCTATTGTTCTACAAAAGGAAGGCGACGGTGCATTAGATGCGCAATTACGCCTGATGCTAAGCCTGGACTACACTGCTGGGTTATGGTCTCATGCGCTTACTCAACTGCTCACCTGCCGGTATGGGGAAAGGGACACAAGACTACACTGGAGGGCTGTCCTAAAAGCCACCCTCTCCAAATTTTTAATATGGAATAACAGAGATCGCTTGCGTGCGCACATACAGATGAATAAACATTTCCCGCAAGAAATGCTCGAGCTCCATCACGAGCCCTGTTTTTGCTTCTGCCGTTGGATCGCAGCCTCCGGGGAAATGAATTTCTCTGCTGGCTTCCTTGGGAAAGCCCAGCGAGCCCCTTCTTTAGGTTGCCGTCTTTATATGCTCACTGACCAGGGAGTTAAGCCCCGTGGAACTCAAGGCGGCTTTACTCCGGAGTGGGAACAACGGACTGGCGGGAGGCCCCGGCGCATCCAAACCGGCGACGCTCGCTCGCCAGTGTCACCGCGGCTCTAAATGCGCCCGAGAGCAGAGCAAGGAAGGCGGGTCGGGCACAACCGAGCGTGATGGCGGGGAGGCGGAGCCGGCCCAGAGGCGGCCGCCAGGTTTGGTTGCGGTGGCAGATGGGCTTGGTCGGTGACTGAGTAGCGGTGCTGCAGGCTTTGGACGGAGCGGCGGTTGCCCGGCGCGAGCCCTCCTCCTCCTCCCCCCCCCGCGCGGCCCCGGGGGTGAAAATGGTGCCCTAGCAGCGCTGGGACCATGTCGGAAGCGGCCCGGAGCCTCCTGCAGCGCTGGGGCGCCAGTTTCAGGAAAGGCACCGACTTCGACTCCTGGGGGCAGCTCGTGGAGGCGATAGACGAGTATCAGATGTGAGTGCGGGGTGGGCGGCGGCGGCGGCGCCTGGGGCTGCTGAGGCGAGGCGGCTCCGAAGGGCTGGGCAGCCCGGCGGCGGGGTGAGAGGCGGCGGGCGGCACTGGTTGGGGCAAAGAAGTTGAGGCTGGGGCGAAGGCACTTGGAGGGCTGCGGGCGCCTGGGTGGGTCTGGCGCTTCTGGGCGGAGGCCGAGGGTGGTGACCCGAAGGGCACAAGCATCGAAAAAGCTCTGGGTGGGGCTGAGGAGCTGAGAGGCTCCGGTTCCTCAGGAGACGAGGGCGGTGGAGGCGGGGGGGGGGGTCTGAAGGCTGCAAGAGGTTCTGCGTGCTTGGAGCCCATGTGTCGATGCTTCACTTCAGGAGGATTGTTGTGGGGGTTTTTTTTGGGGGGGGTAGGGCCACGAAGGTCCCAGGGGGGGTTGCCTGTGGGTGAAGATGAGGCCGTCTTCACTTGAGGCGTGGGAAGGGCTGCCGAACTAGATCACTCCTATCTCTATTTCTAAATATTTGCCTCCAACATTGAGCTTTGAAGCCTTAAGGAAGGATGGGAAGATATCTCCGCCTCAGTGTCCTTGCCCTGGGTCTCTCTCTCTCTGTGTGTGTGTGCTGTGCTGAAACCTAAAGTTAACATTAGAAATAAGACTAAATGATTTTGTTAACGTTGTCTTGCTTCCCCAGGCACATCTATGTGTTTGCCAGTTGTGTGGTGTCTGGCGAAAGTTTTGCCTTTGGGAGCCACCTGTTGTTGTCCACATTGTTAATCTGGATGCTGCGACTATCTCTCAGCCCTTGCTGGAGCTGCCAGATGTGCTGTGGCACAGGGCTTCTTGCAACTCTAGAAACCATCTGTGGAAGAAGGGTTTCTGCAGGTGCAGGTGCTTTGGATGCCGTGCCGTGGAGATCTGTGCTTGCCAATTAGATACCTACCCTCCATAAAAATCGGATAGACCCACCTTTTCTTTCCTGCCAAGCTTTCATGTTTCGCCGATCGGCACCCAGCTGGCACTTGGGGACTGCTGCATAATATTAATAGCCTGCTGGGAAGCAATTATGACTGCTGTTCTTGACATGAATCAAATCTGCAAAAAACCAGAAGACAGGCTGAGATCCAAGAGAGCTGCTTAAGCCTTAAACTAATGCAAAGGGGCTTTCTGTGAAATTTGTTCCTATTCAAACAGCTGACATCCTCCCTGCCATATCGCAAACAGCTTTTAAAGCGCCTTGGTGACTTCCAGTCAGTATGGCATGAGGAGGGTTCCAGTTCAAGAAAAAGAAGTCTAAAAACCCATTGACCTCACAGAATGAGATTAATAATTCTTTGGCATCTTGTCTTAGAGTATGTGCCCTTCATCTTTCAAATAGTTATTCGCTGTGCATTACAAGTTACTTCAGAATCTTTTTCTGTCCCTCCCACAACATAGGAGTATCCCTTTTTGAGTGCCATGTAGGTGTGAAGAATAGAATCAGTTATATGCCCTCTGTTGACATATGACTTGTTAGTATATGGCATGTCACCACATCATCGTTAATCAGAGTATGGTGACCCAGTTATTATTATTCATTAAATTTCTATACCACCCTTCATCTGAGAATACCAGGGCAGTTTTAAAAAAATATTTAAATCCCACACAACATAGCAAAAAACAAAACAATAGCACCCCCTACACACAGTTTAAAAAGCCATAAAAAGGTAAAGGTACCCCTGACAGTTAAGTCCAGTCACGAACGACTCTAGGGCTGCGGCGCTCATCTCGCTTTACAGGCCATAAATTGTTTAATTAGCCAAAGGCCTGGGAGAAGAGGAATGTGTTCGCTTGACACCTAAAGATATGTAATAAAGGCATCAAGTGAGTCTCCCTGGAGGGAGCATTCAACAAACAACCTTAGAAAGGGCCCATTCTTGTGTTGCCACTCTCTGAACTTCTCATGGAGGGCGTGCATGGGCAGGGTATAAACAACAACAACTACTACTACTATACTACTAATAATAATAATTTAGAACAAACTGACCCTCAGAACATTCCCTTCTGGGCCTTCAGGCTGAACACAGTTCCCCACAGCTGCTCTGAGGAGCTCAAGGTGGCATTCATGGGTCTCAGTTTCCCCATTTTGTACCCACAACCCTGAGATCTTGGTTAGGCTAAGAGATAGTGATTGGCCGGAGGAGGGGAATAGTCTCCATAGTTCTGGAAATTTATGGGGTCCCTAGTTAACAGTCCTTTGTGGCACTTTTTAAAAAAGTCTTACCAATTCATACTGCAATCCCAATGGAATTCAGTGGGACTTATTTCTGAGTAATGTACGTTTATTGTGGCATGAACCCACAGCAGACATTGTCACAGCAGGCATATCTTTTGAACCAAGGTTTGCACTGGTCTTTTTGAACCTGAGATTCTTCACCAACCAGCTTTTACTGAGGTGCCTCAAGTTGTTACTGTTTTTATTCTAGAGTTGTGCTTTTAAGTTGTAACTGCTTGTAACATATGAAAGTGTGGTATATAAATAATTAAATAATTTTAAAGGTAAGACATTTAGTTAGGTACTAAATATCGTGCTCTGGTCCATGGGGTCATGAAGAGTCGGACACGACTAAACGACTAAACAACAACAACAACAACAACAACAACAAAGTATTTATACAACTAAAACAAGAGAACCAGAACAGATGGAGGCCATGCAACTTTTCTTCTAGGAGAAAAGCAACTGTGACTGCTTCTAAACCTAAAGTATGACACTTTTCAGTTTAGTTAGGCACTAAGTAGTTAGTTGTACAAAGGCAATACTGTACTTAAATGTCCACTACAGTATATCCTTGCAAGGGAGGAGGATAGAGAGAAAGCCAGTGCAACTTGGCTATGTCCCCATGGCCTTATTGGCCACCCCTCTGTGACTTCCTTGCAGTCCCACTGGTTTCAGCTACCTTTGGCTGCCACTGATTTGCAGTTGGCGTTACTGATTAATGAGCATGTATCACTTTTTATATATCATGCAGGTTGTCAAGTAAGAAGACACTTAAATACCTGCTGTTGACATTTGCTGGAGCCGTTCTAGGTCTCCACTGGAATTGCCTGTAAAATGTTAATACAGAGGACAATTCACTCAAGGAGATGCCAAGTACAGTACTGCATCAGATGGTCTGTGCAAATAAAGGTTCATTTCTATGTTTGCGATGGAACTTAATATAGATTTTACATGGAAAATGCTGTAGGGTTTAATGGTAGGCTTGTGGAACTCCAATAATTTTTTCTTGTTAAATTGATTTGGTTTGTGCAGTATGCATTAGTTTCAGACTTTCCTGGAAAACCAAGCACATGGTTCTGCGATAGGAATTTAGCCGTTTTGCCTTGCCTCTTAAAACTTTCACAGGTTTTTGAAGGAGGGCATAAACCAGGCAGCAGAAGTGATGAACCTCATCACTAATGTCTCGTCAGAAAGCAGTAGTAACAGTGTGACTCTCTTTTCCCCTGGCAGATGCTTAAGTGGTGGAGCATAACATCCCTTTTCATTGAACTGTATTTCAGGGCTGTCTACTGCACTACTTTCACTCAATATGAGTGTGCAAACCTGCCCTAAGAGATGTAATGGTGAAATCTAGAAATGGTAAATGTGGTCCTGTATTTCTAGGACAAAAATAGGGCAGAGTAATCCTGTGGGCGGATTTGGATTTGCATCCAAATCTCATGCACTCAGAGTTGCAGTTTTGCCAGTTTGACTCATGGTGTGCCTTTGGATAACTTGCCAGCTCCCAACTTAGCTTCCCATCTTTAAAATATTGAAAATGGTGCCTCAATAACTGTTAGATTCTTTGACAGATTTGAGCAACCTTTTGCGTACCAAGGGCTTCATTCTGTGATGATGGTAGATGGGGCTGGAGCAAAAAGTAGATGGGACCATTCTTCCATTCTCCTTTTTCATACTGCCAAGGACTTGCTCAGCTGAGCAGGCCACAGCACTCTTGCTAGAAGTGTGAACTTGCAGGGACCTTTTGAAATTAGACTGAGGTCCACAGATTGCCCTTCCCTGTTCTGCAGCAATATGGAGGCCTGCGAATATTGAGGGACAAAACTTTTTTCCTGTTTTCAGCCTTACATGGGAAAATTGAAAATTTTAGGTAAATGGGGAAAACATTAAGTACTTACCGGTATCTCTTTTAGAATATTGGATGGGATGCTTTTAAAGGCACTGTTTCAAAATATTGGTGAACTGAACTTCATTCCCTTAAAATGGTTTTTAAGAGCAATCAACTTTGCTAGATTTTATTTTATTTTTACAATTACATTCTGCACTTCATCATAAAAAGTTCTCAGGGTGAGTCACAAAACATACAAACACATAATATCAAAGATGAAAACCCACTTTGAGAATTGTTCCTTTGCTATCCTTCCTAAAAATGTCAGGTTTCACCTCTTCATATTATATATTTTTTGTAGCTTTATAGATGGGTAGGGACCATCTTTGCTGTTCTGCCTTAACATCATTTAGGTTTAAGATGAGCAAATTCAATCTTCGAAATGAAATCACAAATCTCATACTTCAGAAAGGCAAAAGAGGGTGTGCTGGACAGAAATCATTGTATGCTTGTATAGAAATCTTGCAAAATTGACAGTTTATAGTACGTGTACAGAATTAGCAAGTTATATATATAGTTCAGACTGTTCCACTTAGATTTGTGGAGTTGTTTGGCAACATCAACTGGGTGCAGCTTTCTTTGTCTCTTTCCAGGTAGGTAAGTATGAGTTTCCATTTGAAAGTTTAGATCATTTCACTGTTTTTCTTGCTGTTAAATTGATAGCCCTTGTCACTTTACAGGGTTGTATAACCCTGCAAAGGGATTTACAGTGGTGCCTCTCAAGATGGAAAACCCGCTAGACGAAAGGGTTTTCCGTTTTGGAGGTGCTTCGCAAAACGAATTTCCCTATGGGGTTGCTTCACAAGACGAAAAAATCTTGCGCGTCCCCACGGGTTTTTTCCGCTCCCCCCCCTTTTCCTAAGCCGCTAAGCCGCCTATCAGCTGTTCCGCTGATAACCCGCTTAACAGCTGATCGCGAAAAGCCGCTAGACCGCTGTAGCGCTAATCCGCTAAGCTGTCAATGGGCTTGCTTCGCAAGACGAAAAAACCGCTAGACGAAGAGAATCGCGGAACGGATTCTTTTCGTCTTGCGAGGCACCACTGTATTGTCTCTTGCAAATGTATGCTGTATGCTATGCATTTAATTTATATAAGCAAAGTAGTACTACTTTAATGAAGTCATATTTTTCCATGTACCTAAGATCAGGCTTCCTCAACCTATGTTTTTGGCCTACAACTCCCATGATCCCTAGCTAGCAGGACCAGTGGTCAGGGATGATGGGAATTGTAGTCTCAAAACATCTGGAGGGCCGAGGTTGAGGAAGCCTGCCTAAGATCTTCAAACACCTTTTTTCCTTCTCAACTACATACCTCCAAAATCTCTAGCATTTCCCCACCTTGCTTTTTTTTTGGTCTCCCATCTCTTATTCCATTACACAAGAGGTTTAGAAGCTTGACACTCAGGAGGAACCAGAGCCTATAGCTCCTGGCAAAATTAGTACTGCAACTCGGGCCATGAGGAAAAGTGGACTGAACTGTCATGAGGAAAAGTGGACTGAATTTGGTCCATCTACTTCTTCAAGCACCTGAGAAAAGAGGTGCTTCCACTGCAGCATTTACATCTCTTGGCTTTGTGCATTGCTGGATGCAGCATATAGGTAACATAAATACCAAATGGTCTGATGGTTGATCTGGAAAAACCCTACTAGCTGAAATCATGTGTTACAAGCCGTGTGCTGTGTGGGCTTACATTTCCCCCACAATTTGAAGGATTTCTCACGGAGGGATATGCAGTTGTGAGGAGAGAGGCAAGCCTTTTCTGATCTTTTTTTCACACCACCTTTTTGGTTGGCCTGCATAATGGGTATAAAAGCTTCCCCCTGTCTTTTGTTTGTTGTTGTTTTTAAAAGTGGAAAATTGATGCCCTGTTTCCATTTACTGCAGGGCTAGGGGAACTTTTCCAGTCTGAGGTCCACATCCCCTTTCAGGTGACCTGGAGGCCACATGCCAGTGATGAGCAGGCCAGAGGGGAGAGTGGGAGGAGCAGTAATTGTAAATTTTACCTTAATGCACCAGCCTAGTTTCTATACACACACATACCCAATTCTATATCCTCCATCCAGGCAAGCAAGAATCTTCATCAGAGTTCAAGGGCACATTCCAGCCGGGCAAAGGCACTCAAGGAGGGTGGGGAATCAAGGCTGTTAGGGTATGTGGCTTTGGGGACAGAGTATGTAACTGGAGAGAGTCAGATTGAGAGGCCCAGAGGGCTACATTTGACCCCTGGGCCTGAGTATCCCTACCCTTAACTTAGTTCCAGTTACAGATAGGTAGCCGTGTTGGTCTGCCATAGTCAAAACAAAAAAAATTCCTTCCAGTAGCACCTTAAAGACCAACTAAGTTAGTTCTTGGTATGAGCTTTCGTGTGCATGCACACTTCTTCACTTCACTTTCGTGTGCATGCACACTTCTTAACTTAGTGTGTTGAATAAATCTGCGGGTGACCAATCAAAACAACCTGTTTTCTGCATTTTCTTGGGCTTCTTTGCTGGGGGATTTGGGGCATGCCACATACTTTGCTGTTTGCCCAGTGGCGTGGGGGGTGGGGGCGGCCGCACCGGGCACAACATCTGGGGGGGGCGCGCGCTCGCACTCGAGTGCTAAAATCCACGGGTTAGGGGGCGCAAATTACTTGCCTTGCCCCGGGTGCTGACAACCCACGCTACGCCACTGTGTTTGCCACTGACCTGCATGGCCTATTCCCTGAGAAAAGCATTAGCTCTGTCTTTGTTGCCACACAGGCAGAGGTGCAATCTTATTTATTTTAGATTTGGGAGAATATTGGTACATTAACTTTCAGAATCCCTGTAAGCTGTGGCAACCATTTTCGAGCTTTCTGTCTTCAACTAGCCCTGTGCACATTGGTTTGCCTGCTGGGGAGCTGCTGTGTGTTGCAAAGTTTTCTAGGGTACACAGTTCACAAAGGCGGTTAGCCAGATATATAATAATTGCTTTTCTACCCTGGAGCACATCCAGTGAGATCATGTAAGGAAAGATCAGTAAAAATAAGAGGGGTTTCTGATGGCTCCTGCTCCTAGGTAGATTCCTGCTAAATGAATTTTGTCTCATCTTGACCCTTTCTCAATAATAATAATGAATTTTTCCAGTGAAGTTCCACATGTTACCGGCTTACAGATTACTAAACAGAATTGCCAACAGCCTGCTTCTGTATGAGTATTTTTTGGAAGCAAGTATAAATTGTTTGGCTTTGATTGAAATAGTGGTAGAAATGGATCTTATAAGTTCAATGTCTAGATTGGGGTGAATTTATTGCTCTCGATCATTATTCCAAGGAATCTCCAATAACCTGATGTTCAGCAGGCTCCAGCAAGACTTTAGGCACACCTCCAACAGGTTGCCGCTGCCTGCTGCTCTTACTACACTAGTACTTTAGCTGTTGTGAAGCTTCCCAGTTCCGGGTGCAGCTTTTGGGGCATTGCCAACAAGGGTGGGTAGCTGCTGTTGGGAGGCAGAGATTCAGAAGCACTATTGGGCATACTTTTGTTTATATCCTAGCCCTAATTCCTGCCACTTGTGTCAACTTGGATTAAGTTGTCTGGAGTCTGCATTATCTGTTATATGAAACAGCATAACTTCAGTTCCCTGTATTTTACGTAACTCCTTGGTTTGATTGCATCTGCTTAGAAAGTGCATTGGAAGTTGTATATCTGCTTCAAACTCAACTTTCCTGCAAGTCAGATTATATATTTAAAAAATGATAGGAACAGGGATCTCGTTTTGAGAGTGTTTTGGTGCCCTTGATCACATAAGTGCTTCCTCAAATATAAAGCAATTTCTGTCATTCTCTGATAAGGACTTGACCTACAGAGATGCTAAATGGTATGGATATACTATGGCTTTTTATAGAGAATAGTAACAGGTGTTGTTAGGGGCTTGGTTGAGATGTACAGTAGTAGTTTTACTATTTCTTATTTACTCAGAACTTACATCATAGGTGGGAGTTGCGTTAATGACAGTAAGAATTTCCATGCAGAATGTAATGATGGAGACAACATAGACCAACATAATTGTGTTTTCCAAGCATAAACATAAGAAACATTGGGTGGCTAATTAATGTATGTCTCAATTAGTTCTAGGTGAAAATGTTTGAAGAAGTGCATGTTTTTAAATCTTGGTTTGATTGTCCTTATTTTAATTCTTGTTTACCTTCCTAACACTATACAATATACATGCTGTTTCATTACTGAGAACACTGTCTGCCTCTTAACATAAAACATACAGGTTCCTGTTTAAACCTGTTTTTAAGAATTTTAAGAGCACAGTTACCCTTTTTATGACTCTAAATTTCACAAAGTGTCTCCTCTCTTTCCAGATTAGCAAGGCATCTACAGAAAGAGGCCCAGTCTCAACCCAACAACTCAGAATTCACAGAAGATCAAAAGGTACATGATGGTGTATGTTCATTGGTGGTGGAATATTCTTTAAAATAGTTTTTAACCCTTTCCTTGCAGTAAAGAGAAAAGAGGAAGTACTATCTGGGCAGCCATTTAAAAATATTGGGTTTTGTGTGGCAGTGAATGTCTGAAAACTGCCTTGTCATTATCTGCCTTCTAAAGCTTTGGGCATTCCGCTTTCAGGAGAAGAAATTTTGTTCAAAGAAACTTAACATAGATTACCATAGACAGAAAGTACTCTCACTGCTAAGCAGGAGATCCCTGCTTCACCATGCACCAACAAGTTAGCCAGGCCATTGAAAATTCATTCATTTTATTATACAGGTGACATTTTGGCTTTAAACCAAATCTTTCCATTCACAATTTGTTAATGAGAAGGCCAACCTGGCTGCCTCCACTGCATCATTCAGCAGAGCTTTTCTGTGTAGTACAGGGCGTTTTATACTCTAGCCTGATGGAGGTGGTAAAACTAATGGTGTCTCACCGTGACTTGTTTCTGAAGCATTTTGAGAATAAAATTACTTGCATCTGCTGGACCTTGACTCCATAGCAGGTGAATCTCGAGAGGGATCCAGAACACTGTTTTGACTTGTTTTGTTGGATGAACTTCAGTTGATATGGTTTGAGGATGTGAACAAGGTGCTTGGATTGGTGTGGGTATGGACCTTTGGTCTTCAATGCTGATAAAAACTAATAAAGAGGGGAAGGCTAGTTGGGCCAGATGTGATTAATGCCTCTTTACTAGAAAGAACAGTCCCTGTCTGCTTAAAGGATGCAGTGGTAAAACCACTCCTTAAGCCTTCCCTGGATCACCAAAATTTAAACAGCTGCCAGCCAGTTACTAATGTCCCCTTCTTGTACATAGTTCATGAGCAAGTGGTTGCTAACCAAATCCAGGCTCTCTTGGATGAAACAGATTTTCTAAATCAATACCAATCAGGGTTTATCATAGCCTTGGGGCTATGATGTGTGATAGAAGTGAATGTGTATGGGTAACTTGTCCACTGAGATCTGGAGCTTGAATCACTTAATAGGTAAATGCTTCCAGACCTAAATTAGGAAAAAATGTATGCTAAAATAGTTTTGATTGAGTCTCCATATTGCTTAACTGACTCTGCCTGGTCTTAAGTACAACAGACAAAATTTTGCTCTTGAACAGAGCTCCTCTCTTCTTCCTACTGCAGTCCCCCCTGCAAAAAAAATTAAAAATTGCTTCTCAGAACACCATGAAATATGAGGACTATAGCTGAAGGAAGGATCAGCAGATTGGCGGTCTCCTCTTGCATGAATGGAAATGTCTTCTACTCTAGGGCTCTGTTGAATCCCTGCCATTGTGTAGTAGAGCCTTCAAATGGATCTTAAATAAGAGTATGCATGGTGAGGATTCGGAGATTAATTCCCTGCCTTTCAAGGCACATTCTAGGATAGCATTGAAGTATAATCTTCACAATAGGGAAGCCAATGCGCACTCTGAAAAGTTTTGGTTAGATCTATGGTCCATCTTAATCAAAAGAGTGATGGGTGGATAAAGGCACAACAAGCAGGTGTTAATGCCAAGGACATTTCTCCATTATTATAACTGCTATATGTTTATATCTGCTGTGACAATTGTACAACTATCATTGCAAAATGATGAGATTTAATGGATCTTGCTTTAAATGTCAAGATACAATCTCTGAAAGAATAACCAGCTTTGTTTTGGACTATCTTTTAAAGTAAAGAGAGTCTTCTTCCTATCTAGGGTAGCAAATTGCTACATGGCAATTAGAAGGGGGCGGGTCTTCCCTGGACACTGCCATCTCAGTGCATAAATTTCTGATGTTCAGGGGCGGGGGGAACAGGAGCAAAGAAAGCATTCAGGTTCTGATGTTCTAGGAAGGAAGGGTCAGGAAGCAAATGAATGATGTGTTTCTTTAGGGAGAAGGGGATAGGTGGCTAAATGGAATGGAGTTGGGTTTGGAATTAGACTGAAAACCTTTCAGCCACATCTCTCTCTTTTTTTAATATGCAAATGCCAAAAACATTTGGAGAGAGAAACTGTGTTCAGACATTAATATTAGAATCCACCAAACCAAGATGGGTGAGCTGGAGTGCATGGTCTTGAAGGCAAGCATAGATAGAATCGGCATAACAGAAAGCTGGTGGAATGGAGAGAACCAGTGTGACATGGTTATCTCTAGGTACAAACTCTATAGGAAGGACAGGTGTGGGCATAATGGACGTTGTGTCACTCTATGCATCATAGAGGACATAAAGTCAAATGAGCTAGACATTTCACTCGTTTAATCCCTTTGTTGTTTAATTTCTTCTTACTGGTCACACGTCTCTTCTCATGGTGAGTTCTTGGCTCTTGTAAAAGGAGGGTTGTGTCTTGATCTCTCTGTTACATCAAGTCATGAAAATCCTGTTTCACTGCAAACTATCACTTCGTTAAAACATACCGTACTTATAGCTGATTACTAGCAAATAGACTTAAAGCTCTAACAAAGCAAAATTCAATTTGGATGAAAAATGTGTGCAGTACCAGAAACATTACTTGCACAGCAGAGCTAATGGTTAACATATCCAATAGCGCACTCTTAAGATTCAGTTTTAACATAAATTGTGGACAAAGATTCTCACTTGCAAGGACATTACAGCTTTAATGCTTTTAATGTGATAAATGTTTTCCCTGCTGAAAAATGAAGCATCTTGTTGGGGAAAGCAACACTTGGAAAAACATTAGCTGTATCTAGCTGTAGTGTTTTGGATTTGGGTTTTTTTTTCTTTTAAAAAAAGTTAGTGTTGGGTGTGGTTCCTGAGAAATAGCTATGAATAATGCTTGCTGGTATCTTGCCACCATTCAATAGATCTCAGTTTCTTTCTTTAAAAAATAACAAACCAGACCTATTCCTTGTGGCTCTAAATCTCTCCCAAGCAAATCTGAGTGCATTATCATTCTTCAACTCTCAAGTGCCTTCTAACACATCTCAAAGCTTTCTGCTCCACAACAAAGTGCAGCTGGCAAGTTCAAGCAGCTGTAATGCTCTAATTTGGGGAGAAGAAATAGGGCTGTAAGCCTAGCTGTTAAGCCAGGAAAGGAAAGCAGACTGATACCTCACTTGCCTCTGGCTCAGTGCAGGGGGTGAGTGGGAAGGAATGTGGGTGGAGGAAAAAGAAGAGAACATCTTTAGCCCTCTTGTTTACAACACTGTATTTGGGAAGAGTCTCATATTAGAATTTAATATATTCTGATTTGCGTTCATCTATGAAGATGTGGTCTCTTGTAGCTCAGTCTGGAAGTTGGTTGTCATTCTGCTTTCAAACTACATGTGTTGCACAGCTGAACTTGCATAATAAAATGTATATCTTTGTGCAGGAGTGTGGCTGCATATGGGAAACAGCTCTTAGGAACACAGAGCAATATTCTTGCCCGCTATTTCTGCCTCTACACTTAGATAGGCACTTTGCCGTCTCTTCCATCTTTTACACACACAACTGAATTGCTGCTGCTTTAGTATATGAGCTTGAAAAGAAATATTCTGTTAGTAAAAAAAAAAGTTAACTTTCTCCTCTCACTTACAGAAAACCTTAGCAAAGATCGCAACATGTTTGGAACTCAGGAGTGCAGCTTTGCAGGTACAGTTAATTCAGTTTTCACCTTGTGACTTCCAGTTTCTTTGTGGGTCTCAATGAATGTTAAATAAAAGACACTATCTATGGAAAGATGGCTTGTTACATATATTGTATTCTATTCCTCTGTTAGCCACTTATTACAGGGAATCAGAAGCAGAAGGAGAGATAAAATTAAGCAGTGGTTGAGAATAGAATCATAGAATTGTAGAGACTGTTTGAGGTCTTCTGGTCGAACCTCCTGCTCAATTCAGAATGGAGCTACAGCATTCCTGACAATCCTATGCTTAAATACCTCCAGCAGAGATGCCATCACTCCTAGGGCAGTCTGTTCCATTGACAAACTGCTTTTTGTTAGCAAGTTTCTCCTAATGCTTAGCTGAAGTCTTCTTTGCAATTTGCATTCTTTGTCTCTAGCCCTCTGGAACATCAAAGCTCTTTACATATTTGAAGATTGCTATCACTTATTTCCTTAATATTATCTTCTCCAGGCTCAACACACTCAGCTCTCTTTCTGTCAGTCTTCATAAAACTTAGTTTCCAAACCCCTCACCGTTCTGACTACCCTCCTCTGTTTGGTCAATGTTCTTCTTAAAACATCTTCTGAATATTGAAGGTGGTGGCTTTCTGCCTGTATTTTCAAGCCTTCCATGTTAATCTCACCGAAGTGTTCCTAAATATCACTGCAAGTGCTTAGGGGGCTACTCACAAAGGTGCTCTTGTCCCATGAACAACAAAGTAAAGTAGACTGATCACTTCACTAGTAGTGATGTATTTTGGAGTTGGTCTAGGATGAGAATGACGTCTAGTTTTATTTGTTGCTTTTCTTCACCTTTTAAGTTTTCTCCTATAGATACTCTGCAAGAAAAAGTAACAACATCACTCATATATATACTTCAGAGAAACTTTAGTTCCTTTCCTACTGACATGTTAGATCACAATAGAAAGTAGCGCAAACTGAAACCTGTTTCATAATCATTTTACTACAACCAGTACAGGAGTGAAGCCCTTTGGACTTTTGCTGAAATTCTCAATGTGAAACTACCCTATACTGAACCAGACCATGCAACTGTCTATAGTCTATTTTTCTGTGACTCAACCAGTCATTTCTCCAAGCAGAGGTCTCAACCCTGGTATCTGAGATCCTCTTAACTAGAGACACCAGGGACTGAACTTTGGACCTTCTGCACGCAAAGCATATGTATGCTTTACTGCTGGAGCAGAAAAAATAGAACTGAGAAGTGTGATACACGGCAGTATGTTTCCTTTGCCATAAGAAAAGCAGCCAGGTTCTAGTCGTTGAGATTTCTGAAGCCTTCCTCCCCGTAGTCAAGAGGAGCTGGAGGTGCTTGCCTTGATATCACACTGAGAGGTGAAGAAATGCTGCTGGCCAACAGGCAGACTTGTATCTCTGGTTATCTTGCTCAGTTAATCTCTCATAGCTGTTAAAAAGAAAAGTAGAGATGATAAGCCTGCTGCCTGTGGATTTCTCTCCCTTCAGTTTGACATCAGGACAAGCTCCTTCAGCCTTCCTATTGAGGGAGCCTTTAGACCGTGGCTTATATTTTTCTCACAGTGAGTATAATGTTTCTCTGGGCTCTGACTTTAAACAAATCAACCCAAAGTCTACAGTGTCATTGCTTTCTTTTAAGTACATACTACTAAATTGCATGCTGTTTCAACATGCCAATACTTCAGTCTTAAGCAATTGTGTCATTATTTGCCTTCAACAACAGCATAATTACTTCTTGATATCTATATAGATTGCCAACAGGTCTCCATGCAATATAATATGTGAGCATCACCAGGATGTTTAATTAATTAAATGCAGTGACTAGTAAACTAGTTGTTGCTGCTGTCCTGTGTTCGCTGCAGCCTTTATTTCTTCCTGGTCTATAACTTGCTTTGCCCTCCAGTCTTGATCTATGCTATCTTCTCCTTGTAAAGTTATTTTGGCACAAGGCCCCACCTTAGTTCTGCCCGATCAGACATCTTATCACTGGTTTCTTCACCTCTGGCCTGGTCTGACCACATGAGCAATTAAAACACATCCATAGCCCTTAATTTTTTTGTCCTGGTTCTAGTCCTGTAACCTGCAGTTCTCCATATCATGTTTGAATCCAACTCCCATCATCCCCAGCATGACCACTTGTCAGGGATGATTAGATTTGGGAGTCGAACAACATCTGAAAGGCCACAGTTTAGTCCTGTAAACCCTGCTCTGAATTTTGGTGGTCCTAACACACACAAAAATTCCCACCCTGTGGTTTAATTAAAATATATAAGGGACCAGTGTGTGTGTGATAAAGTGGATCTAATATGGAAAATGATTGGACATTAGTACCATATTCAATTTTTGAAAAGAGAGCAGATATTGCTTAAGACTCACAAGGGAAATTATTTTTTCTATTTCTAATGCTTTAATGAATCTTCAAGAAGCTGGAGAGAATGCTGTCTTTTTTGATGCGTTAAAGACATGCTGATAATTCAACATGTTTTCCAGTCAGTTTTTTTACATCAGCAGGATTTTGTGTCTCAATAACTTTTTCCCTTTAGGTAAACAATGAAGTTCAAAGGTACCCAAAGAACTAACAGTTAGTTTCTCTTTGAAATACAGGGCCCTTTCAGGAAACAAGAGGTAGAACAAAATGCAAAACCAGCACTACTTTTACCATTGTAACTGGCTGTAGCAATGGATAGTAGATACAGATATGTAATACTACTTTCCTTTTAGTCTACACAGTCCCAGGAAGGATTTAAGCTAGAGGATCTGAAGAAACTAGAACCAAGTAAGTATCTTTTAATTTCAAGAATAATTTAAAAGCAGTGTCAGTGTGGGATGGTGTTCAGTCAGCTGTGCTATTGTGATATTCTGGTTTCTCTTACTATGCACCACAAAGAACAACTTGGAGGGCCCACAAGGTAGTCTTGGTTTTCATATCTAGGTGCTTGGGCTCCTGATTGCTATAAATGTATTCCAAACAGTTCTATAAAGATTCTATTGGTAAGCAGCTAGGAGCTGATTGGTTTTCTCCAGGAAAATAATCTTCCAAGCATGCTGTTCCATCAAGCAACTGATGAAGTAACTCTCTAGACCAGAATTTCCTAAAACGAATGCTGTGAAAAAGATGTTAATGCATCATGAGAAATTAATTAAACGAGAAGTTACCTTTGAACTGAACATATCAGCACAGATTTCCACTGCATCTGTGCATAATTCACTGGCTGTTTACCCTTCCAGCACAATCAGCTTCGCTTGGAGGAGGGGGATGTGTATGGATCATTCAATCACTGTTGATGTAAAGATAGATTATCCCTCCTCTGAGACAGCTGCCCATTATGTGCCTATGTGAGCCACTCAAAACGCATGTCCAGAACAGTGACTATTGCAGACACATAATGGGTTTTAGTCAAGAAATGTCTACGCGGTGTAGACTCATTGAAACGAATGGCCATGATTAACCTAGGTCCATTAATTTAATATTTCTACTCTGAGTAGAAGTAAGTTGATTACAAACCAGTGCACAGGTTCCACTTTGGCAGGTAGCTTTCTTTGATCCAAAGGGTTTATTTTAATGTAAGGTATTGACTCATCTGGCCAATGGTCTGTCTAGTCCAGGCATAGGCAAACTCGGCCCTCCAGATGTTTTGGGACTACAACTCCCATCATCCCTGACCACTGGTCCTGTTAGCTAGGGATGATGGGGGTTGTAGTCCCAAAACATCTGGAGGGCCAAGTTTGCCTGTGCCTGGTCTAGCCCAACATCTTGTTCTCAAAATTGCCAACCAGATGCCCATGGGAAACCTGCAAGCACTCTACCCTGCAGTGGTTTCTGGCAATTGGTATTTAGAGGCCTACTGCCTCTGACCATGTGTAGCCACCATGCCTAGTAGCCTTTGATAAACACCAACTTGGATGGCTTTAAAAGGAAGTTACGCAATTCATGGAGGGTAGGGCTATCACAGCCTCCTGTGTGAGTGAACTACCCTGGAACTTTTTAAAATAAAGGATGGCATGTGAGTATTTTAAATAAATCAATATAAGCAAACTTCATGAGTGAAACATTCCATTGTACTTTTAACCTTCTTGTGAACTTTTGACCCTCCTATGCAGGAGAGAGCTGCGAGAGCAAGTATTTTACAACCCAAATTTTCTAACCAATACCCAAATGCAGCATGATTGAAAATCCTATTTCTTCACACATGGAAAGCTTGAAAACAGTAGTGTCATATTTTGATTTGGGCAAAGGGGACTGAATTGATGTTGCTCTGAACCTGGTACTTACTTTTTTCTCCACTCGTAACTCTTAAGGACACGATCCTATGCAAGTCTGAACCCCTCTTTGCATGTTGTGGTTTATTCCCAGGAACGTGTGCATAACACTGCAGCCTTGGTCTCTAGCGTGCTCTTTCGCAAAAGAGAGAGGTGCCCTGAATTTTTCTGTTCTTGAACAGGAGAGTGGTGAAATTGGATTCTTCTGTAGTAAAGCATTGAAAGCAAAGTGCTTTCCTTAACTTCTCAGTGTGTTGGGTAAATGACAGGTAAACCATTAAAAACAAAGGACCTGTATGTGTAAACAGTGTAGCTGTAAATCCAAAGCCACAATATGAAACATTACTTTGAAATGAAAGGTCTTGTCCATCTGTAACCAGGGCTACGATTAATTGTACTTCATGAAGTTCAGCAACCTTATAGAACTTCCTCATATTATCAGGACTGGATATTCCATCTTATTCTGGAGAAGAGTCCTATGTATACAATGCCTTATTCCCTCCTTCCACCCCCTTTAATTTACATGATGGTAGCAGATATTGTTCTATTAAAAAATACATACTGTGTGTGATTGTGTGGGACCAAATGATAAAAGTACCATCACCAATTCTTCATACTATTTCCGAGAGATTATTGTCTGAGCCTTACTAGGAATGAAGGGAAACACTATTGGTTCTCAGTGTTTGCAAGTTGCTAATTTTTCTGAGACGAGAGCAAGCTATTTCAACATGAAAAGACAAAAAGTATGGCTCTCACATTGACATTGATTTAAAATACAATCGGATGTAATTTTTCTCACCATGCATTTGACCCTTTTTCTTTCATTCTTTGCTTTTCTTGCATGAATTAGGTTGTAGGAAATGCTACTTACCCTTAAAACTCAGAATTTTTTTGGGGGGGTGACTGTGGAAATGATAATTACAGTGACCCTGTTGTTATGTTGTATGTAAGGAGCCACCATTTCTTTCAGGTGTCTTCTGGGAGGGCACAAGAATGAAACCCTCTGCCTGTTTATTTCATTTATACACTAATTAGGCTTTTTGATAGTTGATGGTGACTGTCTGTCTTCCCTTACAGTCTTAAAGAATATTCTTTCCTATAATAAAGAATTCCCCTTTGATGTTCAGCCTGTTCCGCCAAGGTAAGCAACCAATAAATTAGAAGTATATATGGAGAGGGCTTTAGAAAGCTATACCAGAGATTGGAGTATAGTGTCTAACAGGGAATTGTTATAGGTCAATTCTTACTTCCTACCCTCTGGAAGGCTACGGATATTTCCTCAAGCCATACTGTTCATTGCAGGCACATTGATCTGAAAATAATTGAGTGATGAAGGTGCATAATCACCCCTCAGTTGTGGTGTGTGTGTTTTTAAAGGAAGATCTTAGCACCTGGTGAAGAGGAAGATTTGGAATTTGAAGAAGATGAGGAGGAGGGTGGAGCTGGAGCAGGATCTCCAGACGCGTTTCCTGCCAGAATTCCAGGTAGTAGGGGCACCATTTTCTTCAAATGTGATTTACTAGGATGAGGGTGATGATGTGGGAGTTAAGATTTGTTGCAGAAGTGTTTGGGTGCACACTTGGATGGTCATTAGCTAATGGATGGATACCAGTTGGTGCATCTTGTGTACCAGTCTGTGCATAGAAGCTTTGCTAAAGTTCTTTTCACATAGTTTACATTTGGAATAAATTATTGGTTACTAGTTGGATATGAAATAGGTTTGCAAACTTTGGAGAAGTCTTTATACTAGTCCAAAAAGGGGAAACATTTTACAGATGTCAACAAGGTATCTGCTTTTCTTCAGCAGCTAAGTTACTGTATTGTAGGAATTTATATTCCGCCCTTCAAGTAAATTCCTAGGGTGGCTTACAATGCAAAATAAAAGATCCTATAAAAGCACTACCCCAGAGGCTGATGGATCCAGTGGGTTTCCAGATGGCTCTGGAGGATTTTCTGGCTGGTATGACTGGCGCTCCTGTCAAAGCCCTGGCTGACCTCTGAAACATCCAAATGGCTCACGCTGTTGACATGATCGCCCGAGTGCTCTCTCCCACTTTGTGGAGCACATTTGGCTCCCTGGTATATTTCAGAGGAAACAAGCTAGGAGACGGCTCAAACATGAGTGGAGGAAAATTGCAATTGAATGCAGCCGAACACTGGTGAGGGCTCCTCATTAAGCCTACCTAGTGGCAGTGAAGGCAGTAAAGAGGGCATACTTTGCTGCCTCCATTGCATCCTCATTGTGCTGTCCAGCAGAACTTTTCCGGGTAGTGTGGTGCCTTTTATAGTCTGTTCTAAAAGAGATGATAGACCCAACAGTAGCTCACTATGACTTATTTGCAAAACATTTTGAGTATAAAATCACTTGCATCCATTGGGATCTTGACTCCGCTCCTATAGCTGATGAATCTCTAGAGGTGTCCAGGGCACCTGATAGTTGTGCTTCCTGTTCCCTGGCAAATTGCCATGTCTGAAATGGCTCTTAGACCACCAGCACTCACTTTCATTTTTGTCTTCTATGTCTGGACAAAATTTGTAGGTAGATACGTGTAAACATAGTGTTGAAATACTTTTTACAGAAGGGCTTAAATGTGAAAGGCTTAAGGTGACTCATGCAACCTAGATTTTGGGAGGCATTATATACTGCTATTCTCAATCAGCTGCTTTGCTGAATTTGTACTGTTCATTGTACTTGCTTTGCCTGTACAATCTGCTTGTTTCCATGGATCCCCTATTGCATTATTGTGCTGCCTAACTGTACGTGGTCTTGTCTTCTACATGCATGGCTCCATCGTGTAACCATATACTACATAATTCATCTAACGCAGGAGCCAATGAAGGTATGATAATATCTTAATGTGAGCAGCTATTAATTGTGAATGTGTTCGTATTGGCCAGAGCACTGGCCTTGTGCTTTCACTTGGATGTGAAAACTCTTGTATGTAAAATCATCCTGCCCACAGCAACAAATGCTAGATGTTGCAGAGCTCTTTGCCCATGCCACCAGACAATTAAACCCAAAGTCAGAACATCCCCAAGTGTCCGTATTGCTTTATATGACCAGGGTCACATGAAAAAAGTAATTCCACTTTGGGGGCGGCGGCAGGGGGAGGTTGTAATTTGAAGAGTAGATCCTGCAGATTAATACCTGGTACTATCTCTTTCAAAAGGAGGAAATTTATGCTGATATTTATTTCTGAACTCTAACATATAATAATATTCATTGGTTACCTTTGATCAGACCTTTGTGAAACTCTTCTTGCCAGTTGCTGTTTTGTTATCTAAGGTGACTCAAATGTAGATTTGTACTTATATATACACAGGTTTATCACCATATAGAGCTGCGAGTACAGTTGTTAATTGGCCCTGAGCTGCCATTTTGCATCTGGCTCTGCCATTTCCCTGATCCACTATTTTACACCTGGTTCCAATTACTGGACCTCAGAGTTCCAGTTAAACAGCAATGAAGTTGACCTCAGAGCTGACCTCAACCCCCTGAAGTCTGCCCACCTCAATTGAATCGAGGTCTTTGGGTACAGAGGTGAATCTTTTGTCTTCCCACAATGGGTGTATCTGTTCAGTGCTTATTTGGGGGATTAGATGTACTAATATAATATATCTGATCCTTGTAATCCAAGTGTACTGGATTACTGGTGGCTGGTACCTTGCTTCCCCATATGGTGAACTTCGAAAAGGACCTGCAGACTTCTTACTCATGAGACTTGCTGTCAGATCCAAATGAATAGCTGTTTGTGGCTCAAGGTGGTCCTTTGACATTAGGCAGTCCCATTTTTCCTTGAATACAGTCAGTGGATTGAATCCTCCAGGTTCAGAATGCAGATAAAAATAGTGGTAGAAACTGTGCTGAAGGGCTATAATTCTGTTTCTTTAACACCCCCTTGTCTTATTTTCTTGCCAGGTACATTATTACCCAGATTGCCATCTGAACCCGGGATGACGTTGCTTACTATCAAAATAGAGAAAATTGGTCTCAAAGATGCTGGGCAGTGCATCGATCCCTATATCACAGTTAGTGTGAAAGGTAGTTGTTGTGTTAGTTGCGTTGGCGAGGCAATTAAGTCAAGCTTTGTTCCTTTGACACTTCTGATCTACTCCCGGCTGCCAGCAGGCTTGGCAGTAATTGCTTAAGACTCCCACAGCAAGTATGTAGTTTTCCCCCTCAACATGTACACATTTTCTGACTCAATCAGTGTTTATGAAGGGCTGAAAAATGACACATTTGTGTCATGCCAGTATCCCAAGATTCTGGTTTTGAGAAGCATCCTGCATCTGTTAGGAGTTGTGCATTATCCAGACTTCTTCCAAGTCTTCAACATCGTAGCTCCTCTTTTCACTTTGAAATGAATGCTCACTTTCATGTCATAAGTGTTTGAATCTTTCTTGGCTTTTAACATTCAGCAGGTCATGACAGATTTCTATTAGACTAACTTCTTCTGACGATGAAAGTGTGTTCAAATATATAAAATATATACCTTTGTATTTTTCTGTTTCGTAAAAAATGCTAATGACAAAGTGTTCCTAAAAGAATAAATAGAGCAACATATTTTGTGGATTTCTTGAAAATCTTCAAGTGACGTTTGAGATATGAAAGTATTGAACCGTATAAAAAAAGTTGGATTATGTGTTTGGAAAGTGCCCTTCACAGAATTGAATTTATGTTATGCCTACTGTTACTGTTACTGGTAGGTGATAGTTTACTGGACAATATCCTGCAATATACACTGCAAATGCATTCAGATCTAACCTGTCAGATTTTCTGTAGCAAAATCACCCCTGGATAGGAAATAGCATATACCTTGAGCATACTACTAGGGAGGGTGATATCTAGTTATGCAGTGGCCTCACCTGGAACCACCACATGGTATTTTCAGAGCCAGGTGAAAATATTTGTATTTATCCAAGCCTTTTAAACTACTTGAGTTTTTTTAAACATGAAATTCGAGTCTTAATCTGCAAGAAAGGAAATGATTAATGCTGCTTTTATTTTGTGAGCTTCCAAGAACGTACACTATAAGAAAATATATTTTACCGAGTAGCCATACAAACATAATTAACAACACTGCAATTCTACTTACAGAAATGTTTTTGATCCAGTGGAGATGCCTGCTAATGTTAGAAAAGTGGCATTCTTTAACCAATTCCCCTTCAGTCTGGACCACCATCCATGCTGTACTGGAGGGTCCCTCAGCTATCTGGATCAGAAGGCGGGGTGCAGGATACTGCAACAAGGAGTAGGAAAAATCGTCTTCCCTTTTTTTTTTTTTACGTTAGTCAGTGCTTCTGCTGAATTAAAAGGATTCCTTAAGCAGAATGGCAACAATGGATTTCACCCTAAATAAATACGTTGTCATATGCACGTGTTTCTCTTGCAACAAGTGATGCACAATGAGAATTCCTAATAGGTGTGATACGTCAGTTCCTTGTGGTATTATGTACACAATTTTGGATTGGACGTGATAGTCATGTAAGATACTCGCCTTGTCTAAAGGTGATTCTTGTGCTGTTCCCCAAAACAAATGCTTTTTTCACTAGTAACATGTATAATTCTGTTGTTACATTTTCAGAAATGGAGGCTTCCAAAATTTAATGCAGTGGTCCTTGTATTTTTCTAAGAATTGAAACAGCTCCCTCTCCTGATAAAAACATCATGTTTTGCCTCCTAACAGATTTGAATGGGATAGACTTGACCCCTGTGCAGGACACACCAGTTGCTTCAAGGAAGGAGGACACATACGTTCATTTTAATGTGGACATCGAGATTCAGAAACATGTTGAAAAATTAACAAAAGGTTTGTTGCATTGAAATGGGACCAGCTGATCAAAGCTGAATTTAGAACCACTTCAGAAGTCAAAAATCTAGGGTGGGGAGGAAGAACATTTCCATGTTTTGCTTTCGTGACAGATTGACAACAGTGTTTCTAATAATTGCTCAGTACCTTTTATAACGTAAAGCAAAAAGTGTTGTTTAATGGGAGGCAGCTTTGTGCCAAGCCTATAAAAAGAAGCACTCTGCCATGTAACATGCACTGTGTTGCTACAGCTCTGCATCATCTCTACATGGCTCAGTCGAGTCGTGGGTTCAAGCCCCACGTTGGGCAAAAGATTCCTGCATTGCAGGGGGTTGGGCGAGATTATGCTCATGGTCCCTTCCAACTCTACAATTCTATGAGTCTATGTGGTTGGGGGTCTTCACCCTCTGTATCCTAGATGCCTCCTTTCAAGGAATGATTCTTTTCCCCTCTGTTCAGGTGCAGCTATTTTCTTTGAATTTAAACACTATAAGCCTAAGAAAAGGTTCACCAGCACCAAGTGCTTTGCCTTCATGGAGATGGATGAAATTAAACCTGGACCAATTGTTATAGAACTGTAAGTGACCTTGGGCACATGCTGTGCACTCAGATCCTACCAATTGCTTGCATGTTGAAGAACATAACTACTTGTGCTATGCTGGATTGGCAATTGCTGCTCAAAGTCTGCTAGACTGATAAAGAAGCTGAGCATCCTCTGTCAAAGTATTAAAACTTTTAGTAGGTAAGAGAGCAGGGGAGTGATAATCACAACCTAATACATCTTGACATGGGAAGCTGCAGCGCACAGAGGCAGGTTCATCGTAACTGTGTGCTTGCACATGTCCTAAGGATTATTAAACCAAAGAGCCTGACCGTTCTTTATGTAATTATAGGTACAAAAAACCCACTGACTTCAAGAGGAAGAAACTCCAGTTGTTGACCAAGAAGCCACTTTATCTTCACCTCCATCAAACACTGCACAAAGAGTGACTTTTGTGAACTGAACCACTTGCCACAAAACCATAGCAGCTGCCTTATGTAGCACTCATCCTTCAGGACGCAGGGGAAATGGCTGCATTTTACCCAGCAAGTCAAATGGGACCATCACCTGCCGCACATCGAGTGGATCAGCAGCCAAGCCCTGCCACCTAGGTGCAGTTTTCTTTGGAATGTATATTTTTATCACAGATGTTCCAAAGCGTGTTGTGATTTTTCCTAATTGGGCTGGTTGTAAGAGTTCAGTTTTGTAATTTGGTTTCTACACCCATATAAGAACACCCCAACTAAGGCGGTTGGGAAGTCCTCATCCGCCAGACCTGATACAGCAATAAAGATGTGCCAGTATCAACAAAATTATTCTCATGATGGTTGCTGCAACTCTTCAAGTATACATCTCTCTCTAGTCAATGGATTGATTTTATGAAGGTGACCAAAAAAAAGCAGCACTTGAATTTACTTGATGCAAAAAGATACTTGGTCATGCTGCGCCCTGGATTTCCTTCATCTTTTCATATGCCTGTTTTTTCTTCAGTTTGGGGACAAAAGTAGCTGCAAATGAATCATGGTGCTTCTGAACTCCTGAAAATAAATAGGTAATTTACACTTGCTAAGGCAAATTAGGAATAATCTGCTGATCACAAGAGACTGCTTGATATTTTTTAAAAAAAATAATCAGGTAGTTTGCCTACTGACTTGAATTTTTTACATTGATCATTAAGTCCCATAGGATGCACCTAGTTTTTTGGGGGGGAAATAAAGGAAATTTCCCCCCTTTATTTCCCCCCCAAAACCAGTTCGGGGAACAGCGGTATGGCGGCGCTGCGCCTCCCCGCTGTCCCCCGAGCTTGTGGGGCTGGCCGATGTCTGCCCGGCGGGAGGGGCGCTCTGCTTCAGGGCGCCCCGCACGCCGGGCAGCAGGCTGCTATCCGCAGCCTAGGGAACCCTGCGGGAACTCCCGCGGGCTCCCCAGGCTTGCTGATAGCTTCCTGAAGCCTGGAGAGCGAGAGGGGTCGGTGCGCACCGACCCCTCTCGCTCTCCAAGCTTCAACGAAAGCCTGTATTTGCCCCATAGGACGCACACAGATTTCCCCTTCATTTTTGGAGGGGAAAAAGTGTGTCCTATAGGGCGAAAAATACGGTAAGTCACCCACCTTGTTATATGAAAAACAAATTGTATAACAACTTTAGAGGAAACAGATGCTGTTACCAGAGGAACTGAGCTCTTTGCCAGCCTCCATACAAAATTCCCTATGAAATTCACTTTAAGAGAATGGAAATATGCAAAATAATTCTGAGATCATGGACTTGCATGGATACTTAACTAAGGGTGTGTGCATCAACTCTGTGGAGAGGCCAAATAATGAGACCAACTGGGGTGATAGCTATATGCTGTATATTCTCCATTTCCTAGGGCCCTAGACTCTGCAAAAAGTAGGGCTGTCCAAATGTTGCCTGAAGCGCTCTGGACTGTTTGATCAGCAGAGGGTTTTTAAAAAACATTAAATTAAAAGCTTCATTTACTTTTTTTAAAAAAGAAGCTATATTGCTCTGCTTTAACAGAAAGAAACGGGGAGCTCTTCAGAAATCCACAGGCACCATTCTGGGCACCTTCATGTTATAAGGCCTTTTGGAGATGGGTTAGTGTGCAAAGGTTTTTAAAAAAACAACAAAAAAAAAACAACAGATGAGCAACAGCCGGCTAGTTTACTTTCTAATGTAAAACTTGTTTTACCCAGCAGAAGGGGGGAAAGAAAAGCCACAGCTGGAGTGTTTCTTCTTGATGGCAGGCACATGACTTAAGTCTTAATACCAAGAACTATTCTGAAAACATTCTTAGTCAAGATGAGTAGTTCCTACTACACTGGTACCTCGGGTTACAAATGCTTCGGGTTACAGACTCCGCTAGCCTAGAAGTAGTACCTCGGGTTAAGAACTTTACCTCAGGATGAGAACAGAAATTGCACGGCGGCGGCAGCGGGAGGCCCCATTAGCTAAAGTGGTACCTCAGGTTAAGAACAGTTTCAGGTTAAGAACAGACCTCCAGAACGAATTAAGTTCTTAACCAGAGGTACCACTGTATGCTACCCAGCAAAAGTATTTATTCGCCCCCAGAATGCCTTAAGTGATTATCACAAATGGAACTGTTCTTTGAAGTGTGAATTGTCTCTTTACGTAATACTCAAAGCATTTTCTGATCCTTTAGAAAGCTTCCAAAAGACCAACATTAAATGATAAGAGAACATTGATGATGAGACGAGATTGATGATGATAAAAGAACATTAATGATGGGGCTAATTCTCCTAGAAATGCCCTTTCATACATACCAGCACATTCATAGAAAGCTGTGTGTTGTACTCCAAAGAAGGAAAGTTTGTATTTGTTTTAGCATATAAGCAGCAGCCTATAGAAGCAGCAGCCTATAGAAGCCTCTTTCCATGTGCTTCAAGTCTGGACTAAGTTTTGTTTACTCTTAAACCAATTACACATTGAGATTACTGTTCTAAACATCTGCATATTCAGCAGTAAGCCCCACTGAAGTCACTGCTGAGTAGATATGTTTAAGGCTGGGTTGTAAGGTAGTCTAATCTGAGCTATCTTCTTGACTGGTGTAGTTTTGAAACAAGATCTGGCCTACTACAGAGCCAAACATGACAAGCAAAAAGTAATCAAAATGAGCACAAGGGAAGGGTGAGCTTCTGAGCCCCACTTCAGCAGCCCTCTGTGCTAGCATCTCTAGAGAATCCTCAACAGTACTGCTCATGGAAGCTGCATCTGCCCAAAGACCCCTTCCCCACGGCAGCTCCACAGCCCATACTGCTCAGGAGGGTCAAATGACTCCAATGAAACCAGCTGGGGTGGGGTAATGGAAGGAGTCCTGGGCAAGGAGCCACCAGCTCACGTCCCCCTCAGATTCAACTCAAATGTGCTGCTTTATAACAATTACCAAGTGATTTTATGTAAAATGGCACCATTTCAACTCATAATTTTTTGAGCCTGCGATTAAGGAATCTGCACTCAACATGGGAAATTTGACCTGAATTTTCCTGGGCCACTAGGGCTCTAAATTGCGGGGGTTTTGTGCTTTACGGAGGCATGACACTGGGTGGTCATCAACTAAGTTTTACTCAGTGTACGCCCACTGAAATCCATGACTGTTACTGAGTTAGGCCTATTAATTGCAATGGGTCTAAAACTTAGCTGAATATCACCCACTAGCCGGAAGAATTTGTTCTATCCTTTCATCTTAAGCCGTCTCGTGACAAGTACTATTCATTACAGCAAAGGAAAATGGATTTGTACAAAATTCATTCTTCTAAATGTAGCAAAAAAAGAGAAAGAGATCTTGCTCACTTTATTAGTAGATTTGTCCTTCCAGTACAGAGTAGTTTGTTTCTGGTCTTTCATACCAGGTAGTTTAAAAATATCTGCATTAGAATCCTCATGTAAACCACTTGTCTACAGTCACTGTAGGCTATATGTGAAGGGGTAGCATTTCTTACCAAAGGTATTTCCACAGGAAATGTTCAAATTATCATTTTGAAATCATTCACCAACTTATTACATAGGCTACATTAATTAAAAACTAACCACACAGGTACTTTCATATATTGCACGTTGAGAGCTGCAGGTCAGCCACAGCTGTAGAAGCAGGCTTCAGGTTCATCACAGAAAAATTATATGTGCATCCCAAGAGGATGAACAAGTCCTTATTTAAAGGTGATCAAATGCACGTTGCTAGAGAAATTATTTCTGCAAAGGAGAAAGAAAGAAAAAAGCTACATAGAAACCAAGTCCAGAGGAGGAAAGAAGAGTTGGTTCTGAAGCCAATGAAATCCTCCCCACATGAAACATGATGGAGATCAGTCCAGAAATCCAAAGTCATGGCTTCTCTTCAGCATGATGTGCAGAGTCCCGTGAGCTAGCTGGGGATGGGGGACCAGAAGGACCTCCTTGGTAGTCATTGGGTCCTGAAGGTGGCAAGTCTCTGGCAGGAGGAGGGGGGTAGTCCCTTAATCCTTGCGGAGGTAGCCGTGGAGGGCCTGGAGGATAATCTCTTGGGTATGGAGGCCGGAAAGGAGGAGGTCCACGCTGATATACTCTCTGATCAGGAGGTGGTAGTGGACCATGTGGAAAGTCTCTCATTCCAAATGGAGGGACAGGTGGATAGTCTCTTGGAAGAGGTGGTGGAGGGCCTCCACGTACTGGAAGGAAAAGCAGTACAGTGAATTATTCACTGGGAGGAAGTACATACATGCAATCTCACCCCAGAAATTTGACAGAAACCAAACAGCAGGCACAGAATTCCAAGTTTACCAACTTCCATTTTAAAGAAGCATATTTGAAGCCTTTATGCCTGGCAGATAATATGTGAACAGACAACAAAATGTTCCACTTCTCAGAAAAGGAACCATCTGTATTTTGCATGCCTCTCTTGTCACTTCCAGTCCTTTTCCCACATAGTTACAACTGTGCTTTGCTATCAATAGACTCACCAAATCTATCAAGGCAATATTCAGATGAAATACTTCAGCCAAATATTCAAAGCAGGTTATGGCTCTCAAATTAGTATTGCTAACATTGCTCAGCTCTTACAAATTCACCATGAGGCACCCCTGCCCACTCACTCATTGCCGTGAAGATAACTTTGTTCTGCAACAGGTTGTGAGAAAGATTCTTGAACCTGTAATGCCAATTCAAATAAACATTTTTTTTTTTTAAAAAAAGCACAATGGAAAAACAACCATACCTAAGGGAAGAGGTCGAGGTCCATAGGGTAGCCGGGGTGGAAGTCCAACACGAACTGGAGGTGGTGGCAAATGTCCAGCTGCTGGCGGTCCCATTACGGGGGCCCCTGGGTAAGGTGGTGGGCCTTTAGGACCCATGTTAACCTGTGTAAGACAGAAAAGTTAGTCTTCTACTATATACACCAGCGAAATATAAAACTGATCTTCCACCAAAAATGTTAAGTGTTTGAAAGCTATGTATTTTCAAACTCGTTTTCACTGCATACTACCAAACGGGTGAGGAATCTCAGGCTAGGGGACCAGTTGCAGCCCTCCAGACCTCTCTAAATGAGCCTCAGACTAAATTCCTCCTTGCACAGCATTTCCAGTGCCCATCAAGTACTTTTGCCTGGTTAAGACTATGCCTGTTCCTTGCCTGAACGGAGAATGTAGAGTCTTGTGTGTGTAGCAGTCTTCAAATTTTGACTGGAATGTAGCCTGCTGTACAAAGGCAAGACTCTCATCCATTGCCCAAACTAGAAGAAGAAGAGGAGTTTGGATTTGATATCCCGCCTTTCACTCCCTTTAAGGAGTCTCAAAGCGGCTAACATTCTCCTTTCCCTTCCTCCCCCA